ATAGAAGCAGCAGAGGAAAGCAAAGGATTCTACCTATGAGTAGACTCTTAAAGAATGGGTAGGCAGAAAAGGGGGAAAGGCAGTTCAACTAAGGGAACAACATGAAAAAGGCCATTCACTTGGGATTGAATGGAAAGACACAGCATTTTAAAAGATCACAAAGGTATCTTTACTGTCTTTTTGACATAGGTCAACTGAGGAGAAAAATAATCTCCAAGCTAAATAAAATACAGATAATACTCTGATGACCAAACTCAAGAATAGGGAATCCTTAACTCAGATGGCACCCATATTCTGCCTTAGCCACAGCCCCCCTTTATCTTTCTCCCTTCTCCTCTCCCCCATCTCTTTAGTCTCTTAAGGGAAAAAAACCACACAGGATGACAGAAAGCTACACACATACACCAAGAAAATTAATTCAGAGGGCTTGAAAAGAGACAGAGCTTAGTCAATCTGCCTTTGACTCAGAACTTAATGTCAATCCCACTCTTTATTTCCTCATGTTGCATATCCTGCATTATAATTTGGAGGAGAGGCAGGGTTTATTTGAATTGGCAGTTAAGTTAAAACACACACACACACACACACACACACACACACACACACACCCTTCCACAGTCAGATTTGAAAGCACTAGCCAATTGCAGGAAATCCATCAGTTACTCCAAGGGGGTGGGTGTACAAGGAACAAGTGTTAGTTGCTAAGCATGGAAAAGGAACCAGTAAAGTGAATGACATCACCTCAGAGGTATGAATTGAGGACTGTGAGAGATGGGAGGGACTTTGTACATATACACACGGGAGTCTAAAAAAAAAAATCCGTTTTCCTGCCCTTCTCAAGTCTGGAACTAGCTTTCCTTCAACAGATCAGTGGAGGTGGACAATGGTTTTTGAATCCTAATGGAGAGGAAGGGATAGGGGGTGGATGAAGGAATTTTGCCTTCCATTCAGGTCAGGTGGAAACCTTTCTGCCGTCCCATCCTTCCGATCCCAGTCTCTTTCTAAAGCAGTGTTTTTGAAAGTGTGGTCCGTGGACCCGCATCACAAGTGAGGGAAGAAGCCCAGTCGTACTTGTTAGAAATGCAGATTATGGGCCCCAATCCAGATCTACTGGCGCTGAAGCTCTGGGATAGGGCTCAGGAATGTGCATTTTAAACATTCTTCCCGGATAATTTCGACACTGTGAAGACTGCGAGGCATTATTTCAAAGTGGCACCAAAAAGCCAAGGATCCCCCAGTCTCTAGGCGTCCTGCCCGCCTACAAGTATTGTTGCTATCGGTAACTGCTGGATTTTAAGGGGCCATCCAGACCACCCACATTCTCCCGGAGCCAGAGCGCCAGAATTTGGAATAAGGGAGGAAACTCTTTGTAAGCTTTGAAGCGCAGCAGAAGGTCGGGGCGTTTCTCTGCCCACGGTTCCACTCCAGCCCGCAGGAGTCGGCGCGGAGTGCTCCACCTGCACCGAGCACCGTCCCGCCGTCCCTTGCCTGGCAAGCCCGCGCCCACCCCTCGCCCACCCTCCCCCGGGCTGCCAAGCCCCTGACCCAGTGGCACCACTATGGACCCTCCACGGCCCCTTCTGGCACTTACACACCGCCCGGCCCGGGCCCGCTCCTCTCCCCTCCATGTTCCTCCTTCCAGGTTTGAATCTCCCGCCGCTGGGCCACCGCCCCTCACCGTCGCCGAGTCCGACAAGGCACTTCCGGTATGCGGAGCAGGGGCTCCTGGGACTTGTAGTTCTCGGCTGCGGAGGGGCACCTCTAACTTCCGGCGGCTCTTTTGCTGTTCCTCTAGGGCACCTTCATTGCTAAACCGCCTCATTTCAAGTAGTCCTTGCCCCTGCTTTCGCCGTTTTAATTTATCCCTAGTGTTTCCATTAACCCCGCGCCGTCTTTTATAGTATTCTGTGGTCCGGCTAACTTGAGGTGGTGCATATGCTGGGATAAATAAGAACAGTTAATGCTCTAAGGAAGTTTGCTGTTCTGGAGTGAGTGGTAGACAAAGTCAAACAAATTTGAGGTCAGTGATACACGGAGGAAGGAAGTAATTGCTGTAATTAAGATAAGAGCAATGAAGGACGGGAAGACCGCCTAGTGGAGGTGACAGGTGATCTGAGTTGAAAAGTGAACAAGAATTCATCAGCTTGAAGGAGACAGGAATTTCAGTCAGTGGAAACTGCATGTACAAGGGCAAGGAGGTGAGTTCAGGACCTAAGGTCTGTTCAGTTCCATATGAGAACAAAGCTCAGCTTGGGAGAGATCCTAAAGAGGACAGGGCCAGATCCTGCAGGGCGTTGGGCACCATGCTAAGGTGCTGGGATGTGGTCTGGGAGCAGTCATGAGCCAAAGAACACTTTAGATGCGGAGCAGAGCCAGATTTATATTTTAGAAAGCTTCCTTTTGCCCCAGGGGCTTGTGGAGTTGAGGCTAGGGACCAACAGGGAGTTTTTTTTTTTTTCAGTAACACAGGTGAGAGATAATATGGGTCTGAATTAATAAAAATAATTATAATCACAACTTTACTGGAAAAATAACTTTTGGTATATTACCTAATAGGCTTCCCTCATCTGGTATTTCTCCTTTTGCCCTTACCCCCATACCCCATTCAAGCAGCTAGGCAGCCTTGGCTCATAGCCTCAGGGGAGAAATTTGAAGGGCTAGAAAACAGAAAATATCCAAAGCTTCAGAGGAACAGAGGCGACTCAGGGCTGAGACAAAACTGGGAGAAGTGGGGTTTGAAGAGAGAGGGTGTTTCCTGAAACCAGAAGGGTTCCCTTTGCCCTCCACCAGGGGGAAGGTAGAGAATCTAGATGTTGGTGGCTCCTGGTGATAGAGGTCCTACTCCCTGCTTTCCTGGGAAGGATGTTAGGAGCACAGGATCTTGAGAAGGAACAGTTGTATAACGAGCCAGCAGATATGCCCTTAGACAGTTGTTCAGAAATTCCCCAAGCTAGCCAGAAAGGAAATACCTGGACGAGTTACCCAGTCCTGTGCTTGGGACCAGGGCCCCTGGGCCTGATAGATGAGAAGAAAGGGGATGTCAGTGGATAGTAAATATATGGTCAAGAGCCAGATGGGCATTCCCTCTCAAGTCTTTGTATCCCATACCTCCCCCCAGTTTGGACTTCACCTTAGGAAAAGGGAAGGGGCAAACCAAACTGACTTACATATTGTTTTCACCACCCTAGTGCAACAGAGGCTTGAAACAGGGGCTAAGTAGAGATGTATTTCTTGCATGCCAGAGTTATGGACAAAACACGACAATAACATTCACTGAGTATTATATGCTGGTCCTATTTTAGCATCATCTTATAAGGACCATCTTATTTAACCTTCACAGTAAGGAAACTGAGGCTAAGAAATATCACACAGCTAAAAACTGGTAGGGCTAAGATTCAAACTCAGATAGTCCAACTCCAAATTGGACTTGAGTTCTTAACTAGTATATACCATATGCCACTTCCAAGGCCATGGCCATCAGACTGCACAAGAGAGGGTACACTGGAGAGAGTTTTCAGAGGTAGAACTGGTAGGACTGAGAGCTGGAGGAGAGGGCGAGTCATAAATTTCTCTCAGATTTCTAGCCACTAACACTGGGCATATAGAACGGGAACATAGACTTAAGGAAATAGGAATTTGCTTAGACAAGCTAGGTACACTTAGAAATGACTTGCTTATCAGTAGTTTTAAAATCAGAGGAGTGGATGAAATGTTCATGGAAGGGTATGTAAAGAAAAGACCTAAGGACAGCGTGTTGGGGAACACTAGCATTTGAAAGATGGACAGAGAGCCTAGCAAAGGAGATGGAGAAGGAATTGTCAGAGCAGGAGAAAGAAAGCCAGGACACAGTGGATCATGGAAGCTAAGTGAGGAGAGAGTTTTGAGGATATATTAAATACAGTGGGAATCAAACCAAGAAAATGATCCAGAAATCATCACTTGACAGTGAGAGGTGATTGGAACCTTGATGAGAGCAGTTTCAGTCCCTGTCCCCTCCACAAATCATCCTCTCCCCTTAAGGGAAGCCTGCTGTAGGAAAAACAGCCTGAGCTGCATATTTGGCCCTGGCCAAGCTGTGGTAGCATCCTGAAGGGCCAGCCCCTGGGCAGAAGCTGCCTGCAGCTGGAAGAGCCTGCTTCAGGCATGGGCACCGTCCGAGGCACACAGAACCATGCTTGCACAGAGCAGGCACTCAGCAAAGGCTGCCAGCAAATGCAGGTGAACCAAGCTACTCCCTTAATAATTTTGTTTCTGGAAAAGGTCTCTCTGTTTAAAAGAGGCCTTTCCTCCAGGTAAATGAGGACATTTGCTTTCTGATGCAGGCTATCTTTGGTGAGTTAGGGCAGTAGGTGACCATTGTTGTGGGGCCTGCTGCCCTCTCATCGAGCAGAACTCGGAGGTTGCAGATCACTGGAGCTAGAGGGAGTCCAGGGACAGGGAGGCTCTTCTGATCTCCAGGCCTTTCCTGACCATCAGCCTTTCGCCCTGTTCCCAAATATGAAACTACCACTCAGAAGCACAATGTGTAAGAGTGTGTGTGTGTGTTCGTGTGTGAAAGGGTTCACTTCCGGGACAGCCCAAGCCTCATTATAGCTTGCACTCAAAAGGTAGTGGAAAGGATCCTAGGCTAGGTAGCCCAGACTCAGAAAACCTGAGGTCTAATCCCAGCTATGTGACTGTTCTGCAACCTCAGGCAAAGTCACACCTGCTCTCTGAGTCTGGTACCCACCTCTGTGAAACGTGGGTATGGGACAGATGATCTTTGAGTTTTTGACTAGTAACATGCCCATCCGTGATGCTTTGATTCATTGCTTGAAGTGAGGGACTTGAGATGTCTGTCTGCAGGGGTGGAGAGCAGTGGGGCAGGAAAGGCTGTGGCATCCAGGTATCTGTGCCCAAGCACCATCAGTGTTCAGTACTAAGATAGGGCACCTGAGCTGTCAATCAAAAAACTCCCTAGAAGTGGAGGGCAGTACCTGGTTGTCTAGTAACCCCGGAGGCTCTGAGCTAAGAGCTAGGGGAAGTAAACCAAGCCCCAGAGACCATTCCAGGAAGCCTGCTGCAGAGAAGATCGAAGTAGGTAAGGCATCCTGTGGCTAGGGCCCCAAGACCCGGTGCAGATGCCTAGGAATGCCCCAGGGGTGAGGCCTTGAGGGTGGGCTTCTTGGGTGTTCTTAGGAGCAGAGAGAATTTCTTTAAAAAGAATCACCTCTGCCTGCCTCCTCTAAAAAAGAAGAAAGATGGAAGAAAATGGGAGGGACTGAGAGCTCAGTGCCTGACAAGTCTTCTCCACTCTTATTCCTGCCTCCTGGAAGGAGAGTTCAGTGAAAAGGGGACAGATACAAACAGGGAAACACATGCTGGTGAGAGAAATGCATTTGGATTTAAGAGGACCCTGACTACCAGAGCAGGATCTTGGGGGATCAGAACTAGCCAGCAGACAGTCGGCCAAGGAGTCAGGGAATGGGCAGTAAATGAAAAGACAGAATCCTCTCCTGGAGGCTGTCTCCTTGCCAATTCAATAGGCTGTGCAGCTTTGAGCCCCCAGAGCCTTGTATGGGTCCTGGACATAGCAGCAGATCTCGGTATTTGTTGAACTGACTTGAACTACATCTTGAGATTAGACAGCAGGGGTGCTTAGATTATGAGTGGATGGGTATATGAGGAGGCACAGCGTGGAGGAGATGATGGGGGAGAGGCCCATTGTGTACTCTGTTCATTTATTCATTCAACAAATATTTTTTTATTAGAGTAAAAAATATATAGCACACTCTTACACATTGTCCTTAAGATTTTAACCATTTTTAAGTGTACAGTCCAGTGGCATTAGGTATGCTCACGTTGTTGCAACCATCACCACCATCCATCTCCAGAACTTTTTCATCTCATTCAGTGAACATTTATTGAGAATTTACTATGTGCCAGACCCTTCGAGTTGCTCCAAACCTAGCAGGGGAGATAGACAAGAAAGTCAACAACTTTAACCCAGTATAAAGTGCCTTAAAAGACAGGCATAAGTAGCTCTGGGAAGGAGAAGGACCCAGTTGGGTGAGGGGGAGGAGGCTTTCTGAAGGAAGTCGTTGCTTAAGCTAAGTCTTGAAGGAGGACTAAGAATCAGTTGGGACACCAGAGTGAGAGCTGGTATGGTGCCCAGTGGGCTAGATGAAGCAAAGTGAGATGGCAGAGAGAAATCTTTAAAACCCTGGGCACGGGTAAAGCTGAATTTCCCTAGAGGGGTCCAGCTTTCAAGGAAGCCACCGGTGACATACTGACCCCTCTGCTCCCCACTGCCAGCACCATGTCTTCCCCCACCCCTGAGGATATCCCCCAGGAGCCTGAGCCCTTAACCTCTAAGAAGAAAAAGAAGAAGAGACGGTGGCCACAGCAAGAGGCCAGCATCCAAGCCCTCACCAGGGCAGGCCATGGGGCCCTGCTGGCTGGCCAGAGCCACAAGGCCTTGACCAACTTCCAGAGGGCCTTCCTCCTGGCCTCCAAGGTCCCACAAACCAGGGACACCTCTGTGCTCCGGGCCTGTGCCTTCAATCTGGGGGCTGCCTACGTGGAGACTGGGGACCCAGCCATAGGTCTCGAACTGCTCCTGCGAGCCCAACCTGAAGAGAAGGCACTGGGCAAGTGTCACGGTGACCAGTGTTTCAATGTGGCTTTGGCCTACCACGCCCTGGGTGATCTGCCTCAAGCTCTGGCCTGGTACCACATGTCTCTGGGCCCCTACCAGCCACTAGGTGACCAGGGGCAAGCCCAGGCAAAAATGGGAGCCTGTTACCAGGCTCTGGGACAGCCTGAGCCAGCAGCCCACTGCCTGCAGGAAGCAAGCCGGGCCTATGGCCAAGCAGGGCAGCCCCGGGCTGCAGCCCTGGCCTTGGGGGCTGCGGCAGGATGCATGCTGAAGAATGGGCAGCACGGGGTGCGTGAGGTGGTACAGGTGCTGGAGGAGAGCTGGAGGCTTGCTGAGAGGAGCACTGAGCAGGGACTGCTGGGTGAGGCCTTTGGGCAGAGAAGGCATGAGATCGGGGGTGATTCAGACCTGGTGATACTCCGAGAGGCGGGCTGGAAGCAGAGGCATTTCTGAGGGCTGGGGAAGGGGCTGAGGGGACCCAGGGAGAGTGGGCAGGGGCTGCGCCCATACACTTTACGTTGCATCTGACATGGCCACCAGTGACCCTGGCCATGCCCTCTAGGGCAACTCTATAACGACCTTGGCCTAGGCTACTCCAAGCTCCAGCTGTTCCCGCTGGCAGCAGAGGCCTTCCTGCAGGCCCTGCCCCTGTGCCAGGGGCTCGGAGAGGAGGCCACGGTGCTAAGAAACCTTGGGATGGCCCACAATGCCCTTGGCAACTACCAGGAAGCCCGGGACTTTCACCAGAGGGCTGCCAACCTGCATGGTAGGTGCCAGGTGCTGGGGAATGGGATTAGTACCAAGGGAGTAAGAGGGGGTTCCAGCTGGTGCCCCAAGGTCAAAGAGTAGCTGGATCTTCAGGATGTTATGAGACCTGGAAGCCAGAAATGGGGGGTGAGGGCTGGGGATGCAGGAGAAGGGATGGCCAGACAGGATGGGGGCTGTGGGTGCAGAGGCTGAGGCCTGGGGCTGGGAAGGCAGCAATGGGCAGAGGGAAGAGCAGTAGCTGGGAGAGGAGGCCCAAGTGGAGCCCAGTGCCCCTGACCCAATGACTGTGTGCCATTTGGCCAGTCGTTTTCACTTTCCAAGCTTCAGTTTCCACAGGTATAAAAATGGAGCTATGATTACCTGGCTCGCCTGCTTCACAGGGTTGTTGCAGGGCTCACACTGGCCAGGGGGAGGTATCCGGGACAGAACTCAGGACTGAGCAGACGCTGGTTTTGAGAGTCAGGACTCTGGTGCAGGAGCTGTGTGCTGGGGCTGAGACCAGGACTCCTGGGGACCCTCCCTTGGTTGTTGGTGGGTAGAGTCCTAATGCCCCAGCAGCCAAGTTCCCCTCTTAGGATGGGGCCTGTTCTGCCATCAGGCTCTGTGGGGCAGCGTTGGGAGCAGGGCCGGAGCTTCGGCAGCCTGGCATTTGCACTGAGCCAGCTGGGGGACCACGAAGCTGCCAGAGACAACTACCTGCACGCTCTGCAGGCTGCACAGGATGCTGGTGAGGGCAGGGGCACTAGCAAGTGGCTTGGTGGTGGTGGTTGGGGGACGGGGCAGAGGCTGAGGGTCCTTGGGGCTGGGAGGGAGGCAGATGGGGGGACCTGTGGGTGGGGAATACCCATGGAGGGGGGAGTCAGTGGGGTAGGGAGCAAGGGAGGACCTCTCAGGCTGTCTTCCCCAGGTGACGTGAAGGGGCAGTGGCAGGCCTGTGAGGGGCTGGGGGCTGCTGCAGCCAGACTGGGGCAGCACGATCAGGCCCTGAGGCACTATAAGGAAGCTCTGGCCCGGTGTCAGGTGAGACCCTGCAGCTCAGAATCTAACTTCCTGCCGTCCCTCCCGGAAGCCTTCTCCAGTGACACTCCTGCCTTCACTCTTGTCGTCTCCCCACCATTCATGCATTGGACACATTGCGTGCCAGGTCCGACACTATCAGGAAGAGGCTGTCCCTGTACACAGTCCTAGGCAGGCAGTGGCAGGGCCCTGGCAAAGGCATGTGGATGGGGCAGAAGAGAAGGAAGACAGCACCCTCCCCCCTCCCTTTGCTGTTTCTTTCTCCCCCAATCCCCAGACAACTGAAAAACCCATTACCCCATTATCCCTTTACCCCGTTACCCACCCTCTCCCCAGAAGGAGCCAGATCCCGTGCGGGAGCGTTTGGTGGCCAAGCTGGCGGACACCATGAGGACCCATGTAGCCCAGCGTGGGCTGGTCCCTACTCACACTCTGGTGAGATGACACCTGAGACAAGATGCTGGGGGTGGGCAGAGATTACCTAGAGAAGGGGGTGGCATAAACAGAGCTTAGGTCCCCAAGGGCCCTGAGATCAATCAGCTGCTGTCATCTGCCCTGGGGGCCCCTATATGGGAAATATATCACTTTCCTGAGGCCACCTGGGGAAGTGGGCAGAAGATGTGGCACGTCTCTACCACTAGGGCTGTGCCATGGCTTTGGCTGAGTGGTAACTAGCCAGTGGGTGAAGGCCAAGGAATGCAATCAAGGATACTGGGTCACACCCAGGGGGAGGAGGAAACATTTATGTCCTTGACTGCAATTCCCCAAATGGCCACAGGATGGGGGTAGTGCTCCAAGGCAGCTCCTCTCCCATCTCCCATTCTACGGGGGGTCATTTCTCTGTCGCCTCTCCTCTGGTTCCCCCGGCCCCCACCTCGCAGCCTCTCTCAACAGGTCGATGTCTCTCCTACTGCCTCCTCCCTCACACCTTGAGATGCCCTCAGGCAACCTCCCACCCCAGAAGCTGAAACATATATTTATTCCATTTATTGAATAGGTTTTATGCCCCTTCTTATTTTAAAGATTAGAATACCGTATTTATAATTTACAAGCAAAATAAAATTAGTCTGGTACAGGCAGAGGACTGGATTGGGGGTCAGAACACCCGGGTTGCTTCCGAAGTCGGCTGGCAACTTGCTGTGACTTTGTCCCTGGAGGTGCCAGGCAGGATGGGGTGGTGGTCAGGCTCTGGGTAGGTCTGTTAGTCTGTGAGCCCAAGTTCTAACTTGAGAGGCACTAGCAGGGGTCTTAACAGAACAAAGGGCCTCACCCCGGAATTTATTCTCAGGCATGGGGTATGCCCTGGTCTGTCTCTAGCACTTCTCTCTCCGGGGCCACTGAGTGTGGAGGGCACACACACTCATGCACACATCCATAGCTGGGAAGGCTGCTTTTCTCAAACGGATCCCCTTTACTCCCCTTCGTTCCCAGAGGTTGGCTCCAGAGAGGCCCCAGGCTCCAGGTGGGGCCTGCTGCACAGTGACTCCAGCCAGGGTGGGAAGGGGCACAGCGCATGGGCAGCACAGGTGAAGGGGGCGGAGGCAGAGCTCCCCGGTGCATGTGGCCTCTGGAGGGTGTTGGGAGGTGGGCAGGCAGTGGAGTGGGGCCTCAGGGGCACCTGAGGGAGGAGGGACCTGGCTGGGGCACCACTCTGCCCCTTCTCCTGCCCCTACAGATCTTCAAATGGGTGGGAAGAAGAAGAGTTAGAGGGGGTGCACCAGGCAAAAGAGGAAGAGGAGCTGGTGAAGGTTCCCATGGAGTCCTGGGCACCGAGACTGGAGCGTGAGTGGGAGCAGGCCGCCCCCAGCTGTGCCTCCCCTCCCCCAGGATGGGGGCACTCTCCCTGACCCCCTTACTGCCCTGTCCCCCAACCCTGTTGTTCCCCACCCAGCTCTAAAGCTGAGGCCTGCCCCCCATAACCTCCAGTTTCCCAGCCCTGACCAGCTCTCCCCCCATTTCTGCCCATCTCTCCAGGCCCTGGCCCATCTCCCCTGAACCCTGTCTGGAATCCCCGCTTCTTCCCTGCTTCCAGGGCTCCCTGATTTCCAGAACTTGGCACCCTGGAGCATCATGGTTCATTGAAAGCCCACTGCATGCCAGGGCCTGGGTACTTTTCTTACCCTAGCCTGCAGTTCACCAGTCTCTTCCCCAAAGATCTTGAACTCTGAGGGCAGAGCTCCTTGCTACTTCACTTGAATTCACTGATGTCTTCTTTTAAGTGTGTTTTCTTCCAGGCACCAGTGAAACCTTCCTATGGCCCAGGTTTGCCAGGCACCTACCCTCGTCCAGAGCATCGTTCTTGGTGCACCCTCTGTACAGTGACTAACGCATCCTTTGACACCCACCCTCTTTGTTCTCCTCCCAAAGCGTTCTCTTTTCCACCGTGATGGTTCTTGTTGAAGAGAGTCCAGCAATGTGTCTGTCCCTCTCCACCCAGGTCCAGGACCCAGGGCCCATCTTCCATTTGGAGGCCAAGGGCCCCTCAGAATGGAGCACCCTGGTATTCTGGTACCCCATGGCCCCCAAGCCAACAGGTGGGTCATCGGGAGAGGGGAGAAGACCTGTAGAATGGATAAAAGAAGTTGGAGAGGACGTGGTTTGGAAGATTTTAATGGAACATGACCTGTTAAAATTGGGGAAGATGTGGTTGGGTGCTTGGGAACATAGTGCTCTGAGCCTCTTTGTCTTTGCCCTGTAGCACAGTGAACAACCCTCACCCAGCTCTGGGGGCCCGGGGTGGTCCCTGCCTCCTGCCTGGCCTGACTGTAGGCTTCAGGGAAAGGGAGCGTCCTGCTGAAAGGGGGGAAATGCAGCTTAAGCCTCCTGCCTCCCACCCTGGAACCCACCAGCAGAGGTAAGGGCCGGACAGGGAAGCAGAAGCTGGAGCCGGGGCAGGCTACCTTCTGTTCTTTCCCCATCACTCCCACTGGCGGGCCCCTCCTACCTCCTTCAGGTCCTCCAAAGAGCCCGGGGAAACCCCCAGCGGGAACTCTCAGAGGAGACCCACCGGGTCTGGGTTCTGCACAGTCACGTGACCCCGCCCTGCTGGCCACAGCCCTGGCCTCTGTGGCAGCTCCTCAACACACACACTTGAGGGTTTCTAGAGACCAGGGCCCTCCCTGGTTGTCCAGTGCTGTGTGGACACGGAACACAAGATGGTCATGAAGTGCGCTCCTGAACCGGCTGGACAAGGGCTTTGCTGGACAAGCACTGTGTTTGCTCTTTAGGGTTTTTGGACTGAATAGGCAAAAAAAAAGAAAAGGAGATGGTGAATTTCCCTCTTTTCTGTCTGGGTCAAACTTCGTGACAGCTATGGCCCTTGCCAGTTCTAAAGCCTAAGACATCTTGGTCAAGAGGCTTTGGAAATAATGTAAATCAACTGTATGTCAATTAAAAAAGTAACAATAAAAATTCTTGAAAAAGAGGCTTTGGAGTTACTGACTCAAGGGGGATATAATACCACAGAAGATTCATCTTAACCACCCGATGCATCCACTGCCTTCATGAAATATAGCGCCTGCTGGAGCCCTTGGGCCTGTAGCCTGTAGGACACAACTGCTGCCAGGAGCCGTAACATTTTGTTTTGTGACATATTGATCACGTAACACATGCCACACACTATTCTAAGTGCCTCACAAGTGTTTTCCCCGTTAATCCTCACAACAGAGGAATCCCTTCACAGATGAGGAAAAGAAGACACAAAGGTTAAGTAGTTTGTCCTCCCAAATCATGCAACTAGCAAATGGAGAAGCTGGATTCAAACCTAGGCAGTGAGGTTTGTAATTTTAATATGCTATGTGGTTCCACTCCCCCAGTTAAGCCATTGCTTACCAAGAGTTGGTTGCTTGATATCAGATGTGTATGCCGGTTGTATGTGTTATTGTAATTTGCAATTTAATGAAATATTATGTAAATTGATTAATTGAAAGTGTGAAAACAAGCACTGTTTCAATGAAAATTAAGTTGAATCCTTAGAAGACCTGATTAAGGTGAGTCTCTTTAAAAACTGTTGAGTAGATTAAGCAAGAAAATTATTACAGATTGGAGGAAAATAATAAAAATCTAGATGAGTTTTGCACTCAAGATTACTTCAAACATACCGTTAGTTATTTGTTGTACCTTAAGGAAGCAAACTGGAAATTGCATGTTATACATAACTGAGATTTAAGCAGTAAACATGGAGAACAATGATTATTGGCCCTATCAAAGAAAAGACCCTGGCCACACTTTGACAAATGGCAAATCAATGTATTTTTTGTTTTAAGTTAAAATAATCCACTCCTGATCATTTAAATAAGAGGGCTTCTAGTACAAGGTGAACTACTTCACAGTGAGATTTTGAAGACTCATTAAAATATCTGTAGAGGATCTGCTACATGTCAAGCACAGGAGCAGGTGCTGGGGGCATTGCTGTTAATCTTCCTTGTCTAAATGAACCTTATTATCTTGTCAGGTATTCAAGATGTCTTGATGCAGGTTAATCAGCTGTAACAAAGGCCAATATAACAGTGCCTTTAAACAGAAAACTTTATTCCTTTCTCATATAAGCAGCCAGGGCTCACATAGTGTCTCCATGGAGCTTGGGGAGTCAGGCAGGATGCTCTGCAACCCTCAACACATGGTATCCTTCTCATGGTCCAAAATGGCAGCTCCAGCTCCAGCATAATACCTTCATTCCAGCCAGTAAGAAGAAAAGAGGAGGGGGAGGGAAACATTCATTTTTTAAAGGGTGTGACCTGGCAGTATACTATTTCTCATATCTCACTGGTCATCACATGTGCATGCCTACCTGCTGCAAGGGACACTGGAAAATGTAACATTTAGCTGGGCAGCCATCTTGCCAGATAAAACTCAGGGGTTCTGTTACCGAAGGAAGAAAGGAGAATGGATTTTGAGGGACAAGTCTGCCACACAGGAGTATTGCTACCGAGTCAGGCCAACCCACTATCAACCATCACTGGCTCTACCATTTAATAGCTGTATTGGGAAATTACTCGACTTGTCTTTGCTACTCAATTTCCTCATCTGTAACGTGAGGATAAAAGTACATCCTATAACTGACAGGATTTAGATAATGTATGTAAAACATCTAGAACTCAGCAGGTGCTTGATCCCCATGCCCTCTCTAAACTTTGAGGTTTTGAAGGCACTTCCCAAAGAAAACTTCCAAATCTGAAAGGCAGCAATAAGGTGGACTAGGTCTTGGGCATCATCTTCCTGGGGATATCTCTCATTTGCTTGTTGTATAAATTCTGGGGGTGTCTGGTGGGATATAGCTTGTGTCATTATTTTACAGCTACAATTGCATCAGAATGAAGTCAGCACACAGCCCTTTAATTACATACTTCTGCACTTGGGGAGGGCAGTTCAGTATAGAATTATGCTTTACAATATAGCCTCTAGGTCAGGCTGCTTGGACCCTAGCTCCACTGACAGCTATTGCAGTATCATTGGGTATGGCATTCAGTATCTTTGAGCTTCCTTTTTCTCATAAAATGGGAATAATAACAGGATTGCTGTGAGGATAAATGAGACGATTCATTTTAGCACTTGGCACATACAAGTATTCAAAATATTATCTATGTCAAAGAAGCATGCTTCACGTTGTGTTTAGAAATGAATCTTCAGAATCATCAAATTAATTTTCTCAAATAGGCCTACCTCATAGGCAGTCTTGACTGATATATAAAAGTGAAGCTACTTATATACTGGTGATCTTATAAAATAAAGTTATGAGGTCTTGAATCAGATTATCCAGTTGTCATGTACACTCTACATTAAAATTTAGATGAATAAACTCAATTTCTGACCACACAGTCTAATGAAAACAATCTTGCACCACACGCAGTCTGATAAATTCAGTTTCCAAAACAAGCACAGCTGGAAGCCAACATTCCATAGGAGATGACAAACCTCTTATAATTAGAAAGGAGAACAATAAAGGAATAGTTAAAACAGGTGGGGTTCTTGACTTTCTCAGTGAACTCACCAGGAATGCAATTCGTAATACAGAAAAGAATAAACTAGCAGAAAAACAAGACTGTCATTCCACTTGGATAATTCTCTTTACCTTAATGCCTTAATGGTAACTGGCTTGGTATTCCAAAAATTTCTTCCTTAATCATGCAATCGTGTCTTCGCATTCTTACAAGTTCTCAGGTAAAAAATTTAATCTTCCTCTTTAGGTTTTCCTTAAAATGTCATCATGGCATGAAGTCTCTGTTTTCAACTGCGTTTCTAACTGTGGCATACTCAAACTATTAAAGAATTGTAATTTTCAATTTCCATAGCTATTATCTTGATAAAAGTGGATAGGTTAGTATGTATGATTAAGGAAGTACAGCGCGCTATCTTGGTAACAAAGGTAGGGGAAGCAAACATACTACTGGGCAGAGGGGTCCTAAGTTACATAAAAAGCTAGTACTGTAAAAAAGAACATTATCCCCATTTTATAGAGAGGAAATTGAAACCAGGAGTGCCCAATTTCGCTCAGCTAGTGAGTGGTAGGGCCAGAAGCCCGGGCTAACGGCTATGCTATACACAGCTTCTTGAAAGGGCGACAAAAACACGAACAATTATTTTCAAAGGGCGATTGAGAGCAAAACACCACGGCCTGTCTGGAAATGTGAGGCAATATGTAAATGCTCCGAGGAAAAGGCTGGGGCCCAGGCAGGATGCAGCTAGCACACAGCGAGGCCGGGCCGGGTAGGACCGAACCCCCAGGGCGGGGCGCACCGGAGCGCCCTGGCCCAGCGACAGCCGGGACGCACACAGCCCGCCAGCGACCACTTCCGGGAGGGGCGTGCGGGCTCCGCCTCACTTGGGGGCGGGGCGAGGCGCCGGGCATGCGCCGGAGCAAGCCGGGCCGGGGGCGCGCGCTCTGCGGGCCGCATGTCCGGGCTGCGGGCGCTGCTGGGGCTCGGGTTGCTGGTTGCGGGCTCGCGCCTGCCCCGCTTCAGAGCCCCGGCCGGCGCCTGCCTCGCGGGTCCCCCCTGGTGGGGGCCGCAGCGGCTGAACTCGGGTGGCCGCGGGGACCCAGAGGTCATGGCGTGCACAGCGGTGAAGTACCTGAGGTAGGCGAGGCTCCGGGCGGGCACGGGCCGCTGGCCGGGGTTGGACGGCTCTCTCCCCGGGGCGGGGCCTGCGCCGGCTGCGCTGCCCCGCGCGGAGCCCCCGAGGGGCGGGACTCAGGCTGTGGGTGTTCTCAGCCAGGAGGAGGCCCAAGCCGTGGACGAGGAGCTCTTTAACGAGTACCAGTTCAGCGTGGACCAACTCATGGAGCTGGCTGGGCTGAGCTGTGCCACAGCCATTGCCAAGGTCAGTGGCGCACCTCCAGACCTTGGGGACGAGTCATGTTTAAGCCTGCTGGCCCATCCACGATGGAGTGGGAAGGACAGTGGGGCGAAACCTGCGCCATTTCTGCCCAAAGACCTTCTGAACACCCTCTGACTCTGCCTCCAGGCATATCCTCCCACGTCCATGTCCAGGAACCCCCCTACTGTCCTGGTCATTTGTGGGCCCGGGAATAATGGAGGAGATGGCCTGGTTTGTGCACGACACCTCAAACTCTTTGTAAGTATGTGGGGAAGGGCTGTGGGCGAGGGTGAGATTTCTAGGATCTAGGCTTGAATTACCCCTTTCCTTTCCCTTAGGGCTACCAACCAACCGTCTATTATCCCAAAAGGCCTAACAAGCCACTCTTCACTGCACTGGTGACTCAGTGTCAGAAAATGGACATCCCTTTCCTTGGTGAAATGCCCCCAGAGGTAGGTGGCTCCACCTCGGTACCATACTGCCAGTGTTCTACTCTCCTGCCCTGTTTCCAGGCCGAGCTCATTTGCTTATTTTCCTTCCTAGATGATAAGTTCTTAGGGGGTAGGCATGGTGCCTGACTGAGAAGGTGCCTGAACAGGGCTGTTTGGTAGAAGCAGTGTAAGACCCTCCTCCGTGCGGTGGCTCTGAGTCGCCAAGGCCATCCATCCCCGGGTCACTCCTTTACTCTGCAGTCAGTTCCTCCCACCCTAGCATGCAGTTAACACGTTCTCTATACCATTTCAGGGGCTGAAGTGACAGCCTCATCCTAAACCCTTTCTGTAGATGATTTAGGGGAGGGGAACTTGAGAACTTGGTTTTATTTTGAGATTTCTTAACACATTTTACAGACAGAGTCTGAGGTGCAGAGAAGGCAAGCAGTTTGTCCAAAGTCACAGAAACAGATCACAGTGGAGCCGGGACCGGAGGCTGCCCTCCTGACTCCCAGTCTCAGGCTGTCCCACACTGTAGCCTCCCCAGTGGCAGACAGGCACTCAAACAGAGAACGTGTCTGGACTCGGCTTCGCCTCAGTGACCAACCTGCACTTAACTCTGGACCTCTCAATGAGATAAAATGTTTGTGCCTCTGTGAATGGTCTGTGGGTGCTGAGGACTGCCCGCTCCCGTTAAGGACCCTTTGTGCAGCTGCTGGCTCTGACACCCTTTCCTTTTCCTGCTCCACCACAGCCCATGCTGATTGATGAACTGTATGAGCTGGTGGTGGATGCCATCTTTGGCTTCAGCTTCAAGGGTGACGTTCGCGAGCCATTCCGCAGCATCCTGAGTGTCCTGAATGGACTCACTGTGCCCATTGCCAGTATCGACATTCCCTCAGGTGCTGGGACCAAGGAGGGCAGGGGGACAGGGAACCTGCCGTGTCTTGAGGCAAGTACCAAGAGTCCTGACGCTTGACTCAGGGCTCAGACCAAGTCTGAAGTAAGTCAGGTCTCCAGCAGAACAGAGCTTTGTGGATCCTGCAACAGGGCCAGGGAGCAAGGAGTTCAGGAGGACCCTGTACAGGTTGGCTCCAAATGCCCAAAGCCCAGGGGTACGTGGAGTTTCAAGGATGAGTTCTCAGGTGGGAGTGCAAGGGCTTCTCACTACGGACGAGGGGGAGCAAAGTGTAGTAGGGGAGCAGACACCTGGCCTGTGCTGTTCTTCCTGAACACGGCCCACTTTTCAGGATGGGATGTGGAGAAGGGAAGCTCTGGAGGGATCCAGCCAGACTTGCTCATCTCCCTGACGGCACCCAAAAAATCTGCAACCCAGTTTACCGGTCGCTACCACTACCTGGGAGGTCGTTTCGTGCCACCTGCTCTGGAAAAGAAGTACCAGCTGAATCTGCCGTCCTACCCTGCCACTGACTGTGTCTATCGCCTGCAGTGAGGGAACGTGGGTGGGCCTTCTTCCCACCAAAGATTTAGTGCCTCTCCCAGAACTGTGGAATACTGGGAGTTCTTTCAGCAATAAAGGTTAATGGGTGGCAGGAGCCGGAGCAACCCTGGAGTTACAGTGCCATCTCTCTGGGGGAACAGAACAGGCAAGAGTGCTGTGGCATTTGCGGGGAGCAATGAAGATTGACTCTCTGATGCTGAAAAAGGCTCCCCAGTGAGGTGTACTGTCCTTTACACACACGATTCTTAACCATTTGGGATGCACAGGGTTGTCCTCTTAGCTTGCTCCTTCCACTTAACAGTGTAGCAAGACTACAGGAGGCTCACAGAAGGAATTTCTTCAAAAACATCCAAGGAAACTTATACTCAGGACATTCCTGGCTGGAAATGGAGTGCAAGTCAGGACTTACATTTAGGCTAGGAGCCAAAGCTGGTATTTATTTAATCGTTTGATATAGTATTACAGACTGGCAACCTGTGGGAATTCAGTGCTTAGATCTAAATTTGTATGTTTTCCTTAGCCTTCACAATACTTAGAAATGTGTACTTTCACATAAGCATCCGTTTTCAGCTTTCAGCAAGGATGCCTCTTCAAAGGGTTTCTGCATTCCTGTTCCCACAGTCCCCAGCACTCTGTCCTGTGGCCGTCTGGCTCCTACGGGCACTGGAGTTCGTGGTGTCTGGGTCCAAAGCTGAGCTAGGGCACGGTGCTACGGCTCTCCTCTCAGTAGACTAGTGTTCAGCGCTCCGCTTCCTCCCTGGGAGGCACTCCTCACCTGAGAGGGTGCAGAAGACCTGCACTGACACAGGTCTCCGGCTTCAGCTCCTAAAAAGGAACTGACCGAGCCCCACCTTGACACCTTCAGTCTCTCTTCCGTCTCTTCTTCGCTCTCTGGTCAGTGCTAACTCCAGCTCTTTCCTCTAGTTGCTGCTGCGTCTTCTTTCCTCTGCTGCTTAAGCCAGTGTGTGCTCTGAGCTCTGCTTCCTTAGTCTCGCCCACCTCCTCATCTCCTTCATCCCTTGCACCCAAGGCATCCTCATCCTCTTGATGCCGCCGCCTCTTCTTGCTCTTGCTTTTCCTGTCACTGCATGCTCTGCTCTCTGCCTCCCTGGTCCCACCGTCTGCAACAGCCTCCTGGCCTGCTTCCTCCTGTATGTTCACGTGGTCCTCAGGCTGCCGCCTCTTCCTGCTTCTGTTGCGTGGGTCAGTGTGTGCTCTGCTCTCTACCTCCCCTGCCCTGACCCCACCGACAGCCTGCGCTCCTCCTCTGTCTGAGGTCCTCACTGCCACCGCCTCTTCATGCTGCTGCTGTGTCCTTGTCCTGAAGTACTGATCAGGTGGTTCTCTGCTCTTCGGTTCCCAGAGCCCACTTGTTCCTGTGGCCTCTCCTGCCTCACTCCCCGGTGCTGTTTCCTCTCTCTCACCTGCAACCTTTTCTCCCTGATGCTGTCCTTTCTTGCTCTTCCTGGCGCTCCGGTTGGTATGCTCTGGGGTCTCCTCTGCGTTCCTTTCAGTTGCTGCTGCTTCCTCTTCCTGCTTCCTTTTCTTCTTTTTCTTTTTCCGGTGGGGCCTGCTCTCAGACTGCAGTTGAGGGGTCCCAGGGTCCTGGCCTTTGAGATGAGCCAGGAAGGCCTGCTCCTGGGCCTCCAACCGAGCAAGCTTAGCTTTCATTGTGATCCCCAGACGGGCAGCCCTGAAACAGACGGGCCTAAGTCAGAGCAAGGTATCGGAGAATGGGCCTGACCCTTGAGACTGTGGGGAACATTGGCAGGGAGGAACTGCCTATCTTCAGGCAGCTTCGGACATGGGCAGAGGGTAGGACTCATTTGCATGAGATGGAAAGAGTACAGAAGTGGCACAGGCCATCCTCAACGGTGGACCTGTGATGGGGAGACAAGAAGGGATCCCAAGGCACTTGTCTCACTCACTTGTGTGCAGTTCGCCCCTCACAGGCTTGGAGCAGCATCTCATCGGTCAGACTGCAGTGCGGGGGAGATCAGGAATCACAAAGAGATCTGGTGGGAAGGCCTGTCTCTCCCCATGTAACACATTCCATCAACACTAAGTTCCTATTCAGGACCTGGCACTTCTAGGTGCAGGGGATACAAAGATTAGTACAACACAGTTCCACCCCAAAAGAGACCTAGTCAAGAATTAGACGTAGTCCTTTCTTAGATTTGAAGCCATCAACTCCCACACACCCCAGTGCTAAATGAAGTCTCACATCTTTGGAGGCCTGGGCCGCTGGTTGTCGTCATCACTGTAGCTCTCCACGTCCTTGTCTGGCTTCTCCCCACTTGGAGTCAGTGTGGCCGTCTAGAAGGGATCACAGGGGTGGACAGGGCCCACTTAACACCAGTGCCATACCTCTTCCCTCTGGAAGACCCCCCAGAAATCACAGCCATAGGCACACATTTGCCAGGACCCAACATTGCTCCTTGCAGACCCACAGAGTTGTGCCAAACTGCATACTTCAACTAGGGCAGGAGGTAGGCTGCAGTTTGGGAGGCAGGGGTGTGGGTGACAGTGGCAATCCTGGCCTCCCTGACTCAAGCTGGCTAGTAGGCAGAACAAGGGGGGGGAAGGACTGTCACCAGGTTTTCACAGTAGGGCAAGTGACCCCTGGTGGTCACCCCCACCTTTCCCTGTGCACAATACTTACTTAACCAGATTAACTGAGAACCTGCTGTGGGTCAAGGGGCTGGGGATACAGAGTGGAAAAAGAATGAGATGGATCCAGCCTGATGGAATCTACACAGTGGAGAGAAAGGAATACAGCAGAACACAGGCAGTTATGACAGAAGTGTTGCCTAAGATAAGTGGAGGGGCACCTAACTCAGACTTCAGGGTCTGGGGAATAGTTTCTAGAAACAGCTGATCTCTGGAAGGTAAGTCAGCAGATAAAGGGAGAAGGGAAGCAGAATGTCCCAGGCAGAGGGACTAGCATCTGCAAATACGTGAAGGTGAAAGAACATGTATCTTCGAAAGAATCCAAACCCATCTGGTTAAAGTGTAGAGATCCTGAGAGAACTGGCAAGGGACGATTCTAGAGAAGCGGCAGGGACAGGGCAGGAAGGGCCACATGAACCAGTCTGATAAATCTGGACTGTATCATCCAGGGTCAAGGAGGAGCCAGTGACACAATAAAGTCTGTTAGAATATTCTGGATGCTTTGTGGAGGATGAACTGATTGGGGTGGGGAGTGAGATTAGAGGCAGGGAGTCTGGTTAGGAAGCTGTGAGAGAAATTAGAAAATTATGGCCTGAATGAGGGCGGAAGATGGCCATAGAGATGAGAATGGGAAAGAGCTGCTAGATAGCATGCAAGCACTTAGCACCTAGTAAATGATCACTGATGCTTAGTGCCTTCTGCTGGTATGCTAGAAAGCAGGAGTCTGCAGACCTGAGCTCTACTGTCTGCCGTCACTAACCAGCTACGGGCTGTCTTCAGCAAGCCACTCCCCACCCCCCACACCTTTTGGCCACATCTGCAAAATAAAGATGGGTCAAATAACCTGTCAGGTCTCCTCTGGCTTCTAGGTCCTTGGACTCAGACATCCCCTCCCACCCTGCTCTGTCAACTCCTGAAGGTACCGCACCTCCCACTACCTATGCTGCCCCTCAGCAGATGGCAAGGATCCATGCAACCTGAAGACCTCAATTCTTGCTGTGGGTCTGGGCAGTCTAAGTGAGCAACTGCAAGGGTCGTTGGTCGCAGGATCCCACTATGTTATTAGGACTGTCCCGAGAATAGGTAAGGCATACAAGGCGACTATTTAGGCCCCAAGGGGAATCAGGGATGGAAAAGAGAATGGACTCTCTCACCTTCACAAACTTCTGATACAGCAAGTTGGGCTTGGGATGTTTATGACGGGTGGTCTCCTTAGAAAGGTGCCTTATCTGTACTCCATCCTGTGGGGAATTACCAATGAGTGGGTGATATGCCACATTTCCCTACACCCACATGTCCCAGGCCCTCATGTGTCATGTGCCCACTGTTAGGGCTCATACCTGCCTAGTTTCCACCACCAAGTTGGCTGCAGTCTTGTTGAAGAGCTCACTCCACCAGTGGTTTGTGAACTCCTTGGCAGGGTCATGGCCCACCTGCCAGAGGAAGACGTATGAACTCTGAGGACCTGCCCCACCCAGTCCTCAACGGACCTCTCTCCCATCCACACCGACTCTCTCAGCCTGACCGGTCTTACCCCATAAGTGTCCTGCTTCAGCGTCACCTTGAGGGCCTGGGTGATGCCGTTCTCCTTCCGGCCCAGGCCTTTGCCTGCAAAGGAGAGTAAGTGACTTGACTTATTCTGCTGCTTGCCCCGGGCCCTCCTAAGGCACCCCAACAATGCCACTCCTTGCCACTGCACACATGTAGCACTGGGCATATTCTGTACCTCTCGGAAGCCCTCCCAGTTCCATTCTCCCTAGACCTCTCCATGGGTCTCCCTACCTTTTGGCCTGAACTACCTTTTCCTTTGTAATTTAGGACACAGGTCATGTCTTTTCCTCCCTCTCCCAAACCTCCCAGTCTCTTCTTTCTCACTATCCATTGTCAAATTTCTTGCATTCTTTCCTTTTCTGGAAGTCAGAAAATTTCTTCCTGCAACTTTCCCTTTAAACTAGCTTTTCCTTCTCCAACTGAATGGACTACATAGGGGCAAATTGTTGAGGGGGTGTGGAAGGGGCCCCACGGGGATCACCATGATTCCATCCATGCTTTAGCAGCTGCTCCTCAGCAAACTTCATCCCACGACTCTTGACCTCCGGGGTGACACTCATGGTGAGAAAAGAGTCACTGTCCTTTGGCCCTCACCAGAGACAAGGTCACGATCACCCCTTTAAGGGAAAGGGAAAAAGAGCCCGAACATTAACTCCATCCTGACTGCCCTTATGATAATTCTTTCTTGAGCAAGGGGGAGATGCAGAAGGCAGGCCTAGTCCTTGGGGGTCTTCCTGTCTGATCACAGAGAGGTCAACATCAACATGTCAATAAGTCAAGGTGGACTCATGTTAATAATACCTAAACTTATGGGGGTCTGACCACAAGACAGGCTGTGCTAAAACTTAACATGGATTATTTCATCCAATCTTCCCAGAAGATTTCCTGAACTTTACATTCAGGAATATATTACTACCCCTGTTTTATAAATGAGGAAATTAAGGCCCTATGAGGCTAGGTGACTTGTTCAAGGTCACACATCTGATGTGTGTAGAACTCAAACCTGGCAGCCTGTCGGCAGAGTCCTCACTTTTTACCACTATGTGATAATGTCCCCCACAACTTATTACCATGTAAAAACAAAGTGGTGAAGTGCTTGTTAATGGGAGTTACGAGATAATAGTACTTAACAGAGCTTATATTCTATACCCGTTCCCCCAGCATTTATGTGTCCTCTAGATATAGGGGCTACACACCTCTCCCCCATTGCCACTGTCTTTCAAGCTTGTTGCAGCAGCCCTTCTGGAACACTCCAGCTTAGGAAGGGCACTCTTACCGAGCCTTTAGTGCATACCAGGTAGATTACACATATTGAAATACTGCTTCATTTAATCTGGGCAGTCCTGTGTAATAGGTATTATCCTTATTTTACAAACGAGGAAAGCAAAGCCTGGGTTTCTTGCCAGGCGTTACACAGCTAAGAGACCGAACTGGAATATGAGCCCAGGGTGCCTGACTCCAAAGCAACCTCTCTTCTGTCACCTCACCTGCAGTTCTTTATAGTCACTCAGATGCTCCTCCTTTTGGACCCCAGAGTGGCATCACCCAACCTATTACCAAATTTGCCTCTGAAATGGTTAGTATGGCTTAACACACAAGACATTAAAAACTAAGACTACTATTGCTGCACTGCAGACTATTTTTAAAGCTATTGCCACTACTGGAGTAATCCCGGAGCTTTCCAAGTGACAGCTTTGAAGGAGAAAACTTTTGAGTTCAAGAAGGTATAGTAAGTATGCCTAAAAAAAAAATTAGACATATCATTTAAGTCATCCCTCCTAATATTAGGCTTAAGAATGATGACTGTTTAATATGAAGAACAATGAATTCAGGATGACTCACATTTCTGTTCATATTTCTACTGTGAAGAATGCTTACCTGAAAACTTCACTGATACCATGAGAATCCCAAGAGAAAAGCATTGAGTAAAAAATGGTCCTATTTTGCTTCTAGACATTGTAAGGAGCAGCAAAATTCAAATACTGAGGCCTTTAAGGCCACCTCAAAACTGCCTCAGAAGTTATCTTTATCAGCCCTCAAATTTCAATACTATCTTACATGCATTTACTCAGTGCCAGCCTGTTGCTAATTGTTTCACACAGATTATCTCATGTAATCTTCCCAACAGCCCTATTAGAAGGTGTTACTACTGCAATGTGCAAATGAAAAAATGGCACTGAGAGGTTTGCCCAAATCAAATACCTGGCAAGTAGTGGATCCAGGATCGCAGACATTTCAGAACTGGTTCTTAATCACTACATTCCTCAGTCTCTTATAGTTCTTTGTGCTTTCTGCTTCCTTATCCCTTGTCTTAGTAATTAGAAACTATACGTCCCGTACGTCAGAAACGGGCTTTATTCCCCAGTTCCAAGGCACTCAATGAGACGCCAGGAATCGAGAATGCGTTTAGTCGTTATTTGAACTGAACAACATAGGTTGGGAATGGCATGACTTCTAACGGGTTAACAATGGACAACCGTGGACAGAAGCAACTAGGTCCCAAGCTGAGTGCTGCAGTCTTTGTGAACGCTGAGCGCACACTTTGTGGAAACGTCTCTCCGATCGGAGTTTCCTGGAGAAGTGGCCCAGGGTCACTCTTAACAGCGGTTCTAAAGAGCCGGCTACCCTCTCCCTGGGTCTCTGCCTCTTGTCTAAATTCTAGCCCTCCCGCTGCAGCTTCACTTGGGTAAAATTACTCCCGTGCTCTCACGTTTGCCGCTGAACCCGGGCTCTGGCTGCCACCATTCAGGGCACAGCAGCCCCTTACCGTCACCGTGAGGTTCTCTCCGCGGAAACATGTGCCCGTTCTGACTGGTGCGCCGCCATCTTCCCGGAAGTGTCGTTCCGGTCCTTCTAGGATGTCTAAACCATAGAGATGCCCCGCCGAAACTAAAACCCTGGTCCTCCCAGGAGAAGCTACGTAGGTTTCCTACCAACTCTTGAATTCCTTTCCAAATTTCTGGAGCAAAATTAAATCCTAAAAATTAAGATACTGAGTTATTTTTCTATACTGAGTTTAAATCCACTCAAAGTGTTTTAAAAATCATACTATGCCAGCAGATCCCTATGGCTCATAAACTCCTAAATTACTTCTCTTCCCTCCATCTCGTGTTATTTTTCATTAGTGAAATCTGAGACTGAGGGAAGAGAAAATAGCTGTGGTTGCAACTACAATGTGAGAATTTTAAAAGCCTATATCACAAATACTGGCAATGTTTATGTAATAGACTTACTTTTCTTTCTGTTGAGAAAGAGAAGGTGTGTCTGTGTCTCACAGGGTTTTCCTTAGACTGACATTATTTCCTAATACTTGGCCTAGGAAGTGTCTATTTTCCTACTTCATTAACCATTTGAGTTCATGGTAATAAAAACATTATCCCTTGTGGTGCTTGGAAGTAAGGAACTGTGTTTTTTAATTTAAAAAAGTGGTTTACACTTTAAAATATTCTCACAAACATTGTCATATTTAATTCTTACCATACTCTCATGTTGTATGTAACTGCCCCATTTGTATGTAACTAACCTGACGGCCAGATAACCCAAGGAAAGGAAATGGAGCGAGAAGACAGGTCTCAGCCGCTGAATGCTGTTCCTTGAGTTAGTCTAGTAGGAGTTCTGCTTAAGGAACATTTACTTCTCTTTGAAGCACCACTGCTGTCTGGCTTGGGTACCATCACACTTTCCAGTTGGGGTCGAGACCTGTCTGAGTGCCGCATCACTCTAATTCTTTTCTCTGCCTTTCCCTGGCCCTGGTGTCTCCTCTGTGAGGGGCTGAAACACCCCAGTGTGTAAGTGCCTGCTGTGGTGGGGGTGGGGGGGAGAATGGAGGGGAGCGGGGCCCCCTTTCCTTTATAGCACCTGCAGCCACTTCCAGAGTTATCCCTAGACAAGTGCAGTTTTCAGGGGACAAGTGCAGTTTCAGGGGAGCAGAAACATCCATCTGGGTAGCTTTTCAATATTTTAAAAAATGAACTATTTCCAGATACATCAGTAAAAATGCCGTGCAAACACTTCTGAAAGGGGCAGTATAAGGACACCAACACGAGTGGGAGGGGAGTACCATGCTGGAAAGAAACCAGCAAGGAATCCCAGCCTCGTTCTTCCTCCTGGCACTGCTGTCACGGGGGCTAAGAAATGGCTTTGTGAAATCGGGGAGCTTAGCTAAGCACACGGAAAGCAAGCGCCTGAAGGCCGCGTCTGGAATTTGGAGGTCTCGGCGGTGGCGTTTCCGTCTCTGAACAGCTTTGGCCTCAGGCCGGTGGCGATCCCCCTACCGGGCGGAGGACGCGAACTCCGTCTGCGCTGGTAATGCGGCTCTCGCGCCACCTGCTGGCTCTATGAATTATTGCACGTTGCCATTTCAATCAGGACTAAAAAAATTGCACGTAATGTGTAAAACGTCTTAAAAGTGTGGAAGGACAGACAACAAAATGTCAAAATTCACTTTTTCTGTATGGTAGGATTAAGAGGGATTTTCATTTTTACTGTTTTTATGTTTGTCAAATTGTCTACAATTAAGTGTATCATTGTGTAATCTGTTCTTTAAAAAGCAATAAAAGTTGTCTTCCAATTTTAAAAATTATCATTATATGATTTATTCTGGCTTCATTTTTACATTTAAATCTTTAAGTTTCTTGGATTTATTTAGTTTAAGAGATGAGTTATGGATGGTTTTTTTTTTTTCCCCCAGAATGACTAACTAGTTGTCCCAACCTCCAGCAACCTAAATATCCATCAACAGGCAGGTGTCTTGTTAAATAAGTTGTGCTACAGCCACCACTGGAATATTATGCAGACAGAAAAGGATGAGAAAGCTTTATGTCATGTGCTGATAGGACAGATGCTCACAGCACATTACTAGGTGATCCCCCCCCCATTTCCAGAAGTTCTGGAGGTGGTGTAATTGCTTCTTCCCTTCTCTTCCGCAGTGTCCAAGGGTCTTCAGCCCTCTCTTGTCCTCTCAGGATGCCAAGAACAGCTTAGGGTACGACATTGGGCTAGTCCTGGTCACAAATAAGAGGAAGAAAAACTAGGGAAAAGCATCGAGAGTGCCTGAGATTCGTGGAGGCAGAGAAGGAGGTAGCACCTCTGGGGTGATCTTGCGGATATGTAAACAGCCTGCAGGGTCAGTTATCTATAAAAGCCTAGAGAGTAGAGGTTTCAGTAGTTTCATCAAACACTTTGTGCTAGGACCTGCCCCTTTGTTACTGGTGACACAAAGATGCGTAAGACACGAGTCCTGACTTCACTGGGGGGCTCCTAGTCTAGCCAGGGAAAGTTGGGACCTTGAGTGGAACTGGAGGAGATGGAAATGGGGCATGGAGAGACATGCAAGATCCCGGAGTGCATGCCAGGCTGAGGAGTTTGGGCTTGCCTTGTACGTATGAGGATCCACTGAGCAGTGGAGGGAAAGAAGATACTGCGAAGAAGTCAGCAAGAGGGTTTGCCATATACCCCCATCCCCACAAACTGTTCTAGGCTTCACTGAGCCACCCAGAACCAAAACCGGAAAGTTTCCTTCATCCTGCCTCGCTGTTATCAGTGTTGCCGGGTACTTAGCGCCCCCTAGGAACTTCCAAAGATAAAAAAGAGCCATTTCACAGTAAAGCCTTGTCACAATTGCTCAGTACGTCATGCTCCCTCATGCCCATTACTTTTAAAACATGCTACATGGTGACAATACTTTAAACAATGGGACTTGATTAGTGGAATTTTAGACATTTGAAGAAGGGATATGGAGAACTTCAAAGATACTCCTCGGAGGCTGGATTCAATAGGGGAACATTCTGTGAATGGGAAGACGATTTGAGTCCTTTTCCTACTCTGCCACTAACTGTGTGATCTTGAACAAGTCGCTCCTCGTGTTCAAGAGCACCCTTTTCGTGGTCTGAAAATTCGAAAAGGATGAGCTTTATGGTATGTGAATTATATCTAAAAAAAATCAGTAGGCACACTAAAGGAAGAGAAGAACACTAACATGTTATAAACAGTCATTCCCAGGTGCAGGGATTATGAGTAAGTTTCCCCTTCTTTGTATCTTTTCCCTGAATTTAAAATTTTCTGTAATTAGCATATATTATTTGATCAGGGAAAATAATTTTGAAATAACAAATGGATACAACTCAGAGTTACTCAGTGCCAAGGCCCTTGGCACAGAGATGAGGATAAACCTGATAGGCAACAGGGGAGAACTTCAGAAGGAAGTGAATGTGGCGCTGGCATTACCAACTCTTGAATTCCTTTCCAAATTTCTGGAGCAAAATTAAATCCTAAAAATTAAGATACTGAGTTATTTTTCTATACTGAGTTTAAATCCACTCAAAGTGTTTTAAAAATCATACTATGCCAGCAGATCCCTATGGCTCATAAACTCCTAAATTACTTCTCTTCCCTCCATCTCGTGTTATTTTTCATTAGTGAAATCTGAGACTGAGGGAAGAGAAAATAGCTGTGGTTGCAACTACAATGTGAGAATTTTAAAAGCCTATATCACAAATACTGGCAATGTTTATGTAATAGACTTACTTTTCTTTCTGTTGAGAAAGAGAAGGTGTGTCTGTGTCTCACAGGGTTTTCCTTAGACTGACATTATTTCCTAATACTTGGCCTAGGAAGTGTCTATTTTCCTACTTCATTAACCATTTGAGTTCATGGTAATAAAAACATTATCCCTTGTGGTGCTTGGAAGTAAGGAACTGTGTTTTTTAATTTAAAAAAGTGGTTTACACTTTAAAATATTCTCACAAACATTGTCATATTTAATTCTTACCATACTCTCATGTTGTATGTAACTGCCCCATTTGTATGTAACTAACCTGACGGCCAGATAACCCAAGGAAAGGAAATGGAGCGAGAAGACAGGTCTCAGCCGCTGAATGCTGTTCCTTGAGTCAGTCTAGTAGGAGTTCTGCTTAAGGAACATTTACTTCTCTTTGAAGCACCACTGCTGTCTGGCTTGGGTACCATCACACTTTCCAGTTGGGGTCGAGACCTGTCTGAGTGCCGCATCACTCTAATTCTTTTCTCTGCCTTTCCCTGGCCCTGGTGTCTCCTCTGTGAGGGGCTGAAACACCCCAGTGTGTAAGTGCCTGCTGTGGTGGGGGTGGGGGGGAGAATGGAGGGGAGCGGGGCCCCCTTTCCTTTATAGCACCTGCAGCCACTTCCAGAGTTATCCCTAGACAAGTGCAGTTTTCAGGGGACAAGTGCAGTTTCAGGGGAGCAGAAACATCCATCTGGGTAGCTTTTCAATATTTTAAAAAATGAACTATTTCCAGATACATCAGTAAAAATGCCGTGCAAACACTTCTGAAAGGGGCAGTATAAGGACACCAACACGAGTGGGAGGGGAGGACCATGCTGGAAAGAAACCAGCAAGGAATCCCAGCCTCGTTCTTCCTCCTGGCACTGCTGTCACGGGGGCTAAGAAATGGCTTTGTGAAATCGGGGAGCTTAGCTAAGCACACGGAAAGCAAGCGCCTGAAGGCCGCGTCTGGAATTTGGAGGTCTCGGCGGTGGCGTTTCCGTCTCTGAACAGCTTTGGCCTCAGGCCGGTGGCGATCCCCCTACCGGGCGGAGGACGCGAACTCCGTCTGCGCTGGTAATGCGGCTCTCGCGCCACCTGCTGGCTCTATGAATTATTGCACGTTGCCATTTCAATCAGGACTAAAAAAATTGCACGTAATGTGTAAAACGTCTTAAAAGTGTGGAAGGACAGACAACAAAATGTCAAAATTCACTTTTTCTGTATGGTAGGATTAAGAGGGATTTTCATTTTTACTGTTTTTATGTTTGTCAAATTGTCTACAATTAAGTGTATCATTGTGTAATCTGTTCTTTAAAAAGCAATAAAAGTTGTCTTCCAATTTTAAAAATTATCATTATATGATTTATTCTGGCTTCATTTTTACATTTAAATCTTTAAGTTTCTTGGATTTATTTAGTTTAAGAGATGAGTTATGGATGGTTTTTTTTTTTCCCCCAGAATGACTAACTAGTTGTCCCAACCTCCAGCAACCTAAATATCCATCAACAGGCAGGTGTCTTGTTAAATAAGTTGTGCTACAGCCACCACTGGAATATTATGCAGACAGAAAAGGATGAGAAAGCTTTATGTCATGTGCTGATAGGACAGATGCTCACAGCACATTACTAGGTGAAAAAAAGATAGGGAACAGTTTATATATGATTTCAAATAGATTTTTAAAAAGACTATATTCATGATGTAGGTTTCTATTTAGATGCATTCTTGTAGATTCTTTAAAACTTTCTGGACAGATACAGAAGAAGCTTAACAATGGTCTAATTCTTCTAGGAGGAAGGAAGGAAGGAAAGATTTTACTTTTCATTTAATCCCTTTGATAGTGGTTGAGTTCTTTTTCACTATGCACATGTATTACGTTTGTTTTGCTTTGTAATAAATAAAAATAATTCAGTGGGACAATGACTTTTACGTGTCTGTGGTTTTGTGTCCTTAAAAATCATGCTGTCTTAAGATCAGTCACTCAGTATGTGTTTTGATTGATTCTGTTCCCTTTGACACTTTCCCCCCACCAATATAAGGGCTGAAATGTATTGAGTGTGTTCTGTGAGTCAGGCACCCTTCTGATTATTGATGATGTCATTATCCTCAGTCGCAGATGAAAAGAATGAAGCAGAGAGAAGGTAGGGAAGTTGCCTAGTATTATCCAGTTGGTAGGGCTGAAACTTATCCACACTCACATTCCAGAGCCTGTGGGTGGAACTTAAACTACTATGCAATACTGCCTTTTGTTAAACTTGCAGAAATTAGAAGAAAACTTTAATTTTATTTATTTGTTCAGTAAACATTTTCTGCATGTCTAGTATATGCCAGGTAAGAAAGCTGTTAAACCCTTTTTTGCTTTTGTTAAGGAAGACTTCCTGGAGGAAGCACAGTGGCGTTGCAGTAGTGATGGTGGCCCACTGGAGCAGCAGGAAGGCAGGGTGGAGGACTTTTGCTGAGAAGGCCACCTCCTCTTGCTGTGCATTACATTGCCGGGCCTCTGTAGGCTGGAGCTAGTGTCCTCCCCTCAAAGAAATTTCAGTCTCTGGGGGAAATCATGTTAGTCCCACTGGTGGATCTGCTATTTGAGGGAAGCAGAGAGTGCTAGTGTGTTGCCTTTAATACAGAAGTGGAAAAACAACAATTCTCAAAGTTATTTGTTCACTCATGTCAAAGATTTATTTAACTCATTAATGAGGGAACCAGGAAGAAAAGGAATGCCAGGGTAAGATAGCTAATTTAGGTATAAGACTGGTCAACAACTTTCTAGGGGAATAGAACCCAAATTCCTTTGTGGTAACTTTTTATTAGGCAATTAAACCCTATCATTATCAGCCACTAATAGTACAGACTGTAGATGTCTGTACCTTTGTTGATTGTCATTTATCAAACACACTGAAACAACTGAAGTGACATTCTCCAGGACAGTCAGATACATATCAAGCAAGCCTTTAGGCAAGGCTATGGAGTGATAACAAAACAACAAAAAACAAGCAACCCTCATTTTACTTTCTCCAAGTTGGAGGAATTATGCTTCCACATAAGAGAAGAACCCATTTGGCTTTAGAGATAAGCTACCTGGGTTACTTCGTAGCTAGATGACCTTGAACAAGCTACTAACCCTCTCTGGATATCAGTTTCTTCTCCATAAATGGGAACGATGATACTGTGCTAGTATTTATATCACCCGTGTGAAAGAACATAGAGCCATAAAATGGGGCTCACTTTTTAAAATTATTCAAATTCTGGTCTGAGAATGGTTAATCAATACTTGCATATCTTCTTACTTCCGGGTTAAGTTTGAAGAGGAGCCAGAAGCTAGCTTGCAGCATCTGCAGAGAACCCGGCTGCAGGGGGCAGGGAGGCAGCTGTGTGTGACCTTGAATTTTGGTGGAAGGAAAGGAAGCCTGTCAGTCACACCCAGCCCCTCCCTGCAATTTCCCCGAAAGTGCCATCTTGCCAACTTTTCCAATCCTTCATGTAACCATCCCACTATTAAACTGGGCCCATGCTTGCCATCATGAAGGGTCAAGTCAATCTGCCTGGATGGTGGAGGCTGAGTCTGGGGAGTTGAAGAAAGAGGCGCCAGGACTCTATGCTTGTTCTAGATTATTCCAGCTAGCCCTGGTCAGTTAGTGGCAGGAAGGCAAAGGCCTCTCCTCAGAACAAGCCAGTTCAGTGAAAAGACACCAACTCAAGCCTGAGCAGACTCACCCCATTCCTATTTCGAGGTGTCTTGGGGAAAACTGAGAATGGATGTGACCCTGAGCAAATGAAACACAGTTTGGCTGCTCACCGTGTACGAGCCATGGTCTACTCCTTTTTTGTTCTATCCTCAAAGGGTTCTTTTTGCTCCTAACAGAGTTGGAGGTCTTCCTCCCTGCCCATCTCAGCCGCTTTTTATGGATCTACATACCAGAGGCTTCCAAACCACAGTTCAGAAATGATCTGGAGAGAAAGGAGCGCAGAGGACTGGGCCTGGAAAGGGTGGCAAGATGAGCTTTCTACTCGCCCCTCTCTGCGGGAGGCTGTTTGTTCGAGCTGGGCGGAAGCCAGTCAGATGCGCTGGGTCACAGTGTCCTGGCTGAAGAGACAGGCGGCTATTTGTCTTCTGTGATTTGTCCTTCTCTCTGGGAGGAGGAGGGAAGGATTAGCAACGGGGATGGAATTGACAGGGAAAAAACAGTCAAATCCCTAAAGAGTACAGCGGGGGTGGGCTCTCTGGTGCCAGGTACCCCTGAGAAAACCCGGCCCCCTCCTCTGACTTGGAGAATGGAGGAGGTGGCGGGGAGGAGGGATTAGTGGAAAACTCCTCTGCGTGGTCTTGGGCAAGTCACTTCCCCCCATCTCCTCTTCTTTATCAGGTAACTGAGGAAGCCAAGCGTCCTGAGGTCCCCTCCAGCTCTGAAACTGCATGATTCTAATAACATGAAGTTCCTCATGTGGGCTTGCTCAGTGGGGAGAAAAGAAGGCTAAGAGGTGGTTGGAAGCTTGAAATGTTTCCAAATGACTGTTTATGCAGGGAGTCCTCTCTCTGCACTGGGAGGAAACAAAAAAGAAGTGGACTTATTCTGGGAGTTGGGAATGTTCTGTATCTTGATCTGGGGAGTTTAGGTCGGTGGTGTACGCACATGTAACATTTTATCCAGCTGCGGACTTAAGATCTGTGATCTTTGTTGTGTGTAAATTGTACCTCAATGGAAAGGTTTTACAAATGAGTTAAACCTCAGTAGGAGTTTTGCCTTCATAAAGAACTTCCTAACAAGGGGAACTTCAGAGAAGTGAATTCCTACCCAGGGAGGTTAAGGATGTCCCTTCTCTTGAGAACTTTAAGATTACCCATCTGTGCTAGAGGAGGTGGGGGGAACAAATAAGATGACCTCTTTCAGGGAGAACCTCCCAAAGTCCTTCATCCTCAGAAATTCCCTTGTTCCTTCCCAGGCACAGAAAAATCTTTGCTGCCTAGCTTCCATCTCTTTTATTGCAATTCTAACCACTCCCTCTGCCCTCCACGGAGCCCAGCCAGGCCCCTGGATTCACACAAAATCTCTTTAGGGCCTTGAAGCTTGGAGTATTGAGGGGAACCCCGATTCCACCTTCTCACCAACTATTCTCTCCCCCTCTCCTGTTCTCCTCTTGGGGATGTCAGTTACTGTTCTGAGCCCGCCCCTACCCAGGCCCTTTTTCCGGTGGTGTGTGCCAGCCCGTCCTGCATCCCACATCCCCAGCTGTTGACATTTCATTGCCCTTACCCACAAGACAAAGAAAGGGCCCCTTTTATTCAACAATAGGGGGAAAGATGGAGACAATGAGAAATTGTGCTTCCTGTGGGTGGGTCCAGAGAAGGACAAGACAGACAGACAGACAGACTGGGAGGCTGGACAGAAGGGTCTGGTTTCTTGAGGCAGCTGGAGGTCCTGGAAGTCTGAGTCCCACCTTGAGAGCTCTCTGCACAGGCAATGTGCACCCAGGCTCCAGCGGGCAGAGGTGAGGACTTCGCTGGGTGCAGGAGGGGAGGAGGCAGCTGCAGCTTGACAGCTATGGATCTTTGAGCCTCATTTGCAGTTCATCCCCGTGCCCACTGATCTAACATCCTCAGACCCACCAATCAGTCCACCCTTTCTCTGGTCCCAGAGCATCTGGAAGAGACGAGGCACCCCACTGTCCACATTCTTCCAGGTAATCATTCCAGGGCTGCCTCCCTTAGTCCCCCCACTTTGTGGGTCCGAACCCCTCATTCCAAGCCCCACATCTTCCCACAGCATTGTCCCCAGGACAGTGAGTGCCGCAGACACAATGCCTGGTCACAGGGTTGGACACCAGTCACTTAGCCTAGCTTAGTGGAGGGGCGGGTGGGTGGCTTGGCACCTTGGCTGCTTCTGTGAGCACAAGCCCTTCCTCAAAGGCCCAGAAGGAGTGACTGCACCCAGGGCCTCTTCCTCAAGCAGGACAGAAAGCTGCCAATCACTGCTCCCTCCACTCCTGTGAGGACACCGACTTCTAACCAGGTAGGCACTGGTGCTGCTGGCCACTCTCATTCTCTGTGAAGGGTGTGAAGAAGATAGGTGTGTGCCTGCTTTGAAATGCGGAAATATAGATCAGTGATTGACAGATCAATGCTTGAATCTCACCATCAAATGTGGCCTCAAATCCCAGAGAACTCCTCCTCTTACCAGCTGTGCGAGTGACCTCACTCAGGCTTCCTAAAATGGGTGTACCTTTGCTTGAGCATGTATAAAATGGGATTCAAACTCATTCCTACCTCCCAGGATTGCTGAGAGGAGTAAACATAAAGGTATACACGCAGAGTGCTTAGAGCGGGTTGAGGCACATTCACCTTTACACATGCTAGTGCCAGTTCTCATGACCATTGGTGCCTCACTCAATCTCCTGTGCCGCTGTGTCCCAGGCTCTCCTGTACAGAAGTAGCGCTCCCACTCATGTCCCTGTCCCTGATACTTTCCCTTTTAACCACTGGGAAGTTCTTTGGGTGCCTAACCCCCATTTCTCCTCTTGTCAGCTCATCTTCGGCCTTCATCTGGAGAAAGGAGCTCAGCTCCTTAGCTTTCCGACTCCTCCTCAGTGTTACCTCCCTCTCCCCATGTCCCAGATTTCCTTTCCAGAAGTCCTTACTGTGAGCTCATTCATTAACACATGATTTAGCACCTACTGTGTACCAGAAACTGCTGGGAGCTGCACATAATAAGCTAACACATACACAGCACTCGCTTCATATCAGGTACTATTTTAAGCATTTTATGTATGTTATTTCATCTACTCCTCAACTACTCAGTAGATGTGCATTATTATCTACACTTACTCATGAGGACCCTCAGGCAGAGAGAAGTGAAATAACTCCTTCAAAGTTATGCAATTAGGAAGTGGAGGTAGAAAATGAATAAAGCTAAGTTGAGGTTCTCGGTTCAATTTTTTACAATGGTCAAGGTGATGTAAGTACCGTGAAGAAGACTGAAAATCAATTACTGAAACAGTTGTGCTTGAAATAATTTTTACATTATAATTGGATATTTTACAACTTTATAATTACTGGGAAGCTCACTACATAGTCTAGATATGCATATGTATTACTTTCAAATTCACAGTTATTTAGTTGCTAATAAAAGTACTTCTAAGAAAAAAAAGTCCCCAGTCCAGTGCAGTAGGGGAACCCGATGAACAGGTCACAGTGCACTACAGGGTGGTGAAGTAGGGGAGAGGAAAGGTTTTCCAGAGGAGGTGAGGCCCAAACTGATGCCTTTGAGCAGAGGTGAGAGTGAACTTGGACTATTTTGGAGCCATAAGTCTAATGTGTCTGGAGCACAGGGCCGAGAGCACAGGAGGTGCACAATGTTGGAGATGTGGGGAGAGGCTGGATTCCAGGGAGCTTGGAAGCTGTAGTTAGGAGACGACTTTATCCTCAGGGCCGAGGGAGCCACTGTCTTTAGCAGAAGAGTAACCAGATCACATCTACTCCGGTTTTGGATGGAGAGTGGGTGTTGGGAGCGCATAGAGACCGGAGCTGGCAATCAGGTGGCAAGACTTGGGAAGTAGCACTTGTGATGAGAAGTGGGGAGAGGTAGAGGACGTGTTAAAATAGGACCTGCTGACTGAAGGGATGGATGTGAGAGGATGAGGGGTGGGCCCAGGAGGCCTGGCCCAGAGGGGAGTTTGTTATTGCCCTCCTGCCCCCATCACCTTCCTTTTGCCACAAACGTCAGCTCCTTTTCTGCCCCCACGGCTTCTGGCTGGACAGTCCCCTCTGAGGAACCCCTGATGGAGACCATCTCCATACCCCCCATGCCCTTAGTCCTAAGGAACGCCCACCGTTTGTGCCCTGCAGACCTTGCTGGGCTGCCTCCCCATCATGCCAGGCAGGCTCAGCCTCCCCGCACTCTGCTTCTTCCTTCTCCCTTGGGCCTTCACCATCTGGCACAGAGCCCTGGGGGACCCAGGTAAGACCTCAGCCCGGCCCAGAGTCCGGGGAAGAGTGGGGCAGAAGCTCCAGGTGTGTGCGAAGTGCTGAGGGCAGCTGCCGGAGGTGCCCGGGGAGAGTCATTGCTGAGTGAGCCATGGAGGAGAGGCTTGGGGGAGTCTGGGGAACAGGGTCTGGATGGGCACTTGGGGCCGTGGGGCCAGGGGATTCCTGCCACTGTGACCCCCTCTGCCCAGCACCCCACCCTGGCCCCCACTACCTCCTGCCCCCCATCCACGAAGTCATTCACTCTCGTCGTGGGGCCACGGCCACGCTGCCCTGCGTCCTGGGTGCCCCGCCTCCCAGTTATAAGGTGCGCTGGAGCAAAGTGGAGCCTGGGGAGCTCCAGGAAACGCCGGTCCTCATCACCAATGGACTGCAAGCCAGGGGCTACGGGCCCCTGGGGGGGCGTGCCAGGATGCGGAGGGGGCATCGGCTAGACGCCTCCCTGGTCATCGCCAGCGTGCACCTGGAGGACGAGGGCAGGTACCGCTGTGAGCTCATCAACGGCATCGAGGATGAGAGCGTGGCGCTGACTCTGCGCCTGGAGGGTGAGGCCCTTCGGGTCCCGCCTCATTCTTCTCTTGCTGGGGTTCAGCCGCCTCCTCTCGGGGGTCCCAGGGTTCCTCTCCCGCCCGCTCCCGGGGTCCCCACAGCCCTCTCTCCTAGACTGCGCCGCTCTCCTCCCCACGTCTGCCGGCCCTCCCCAGGCTGTCCGCCACCCCCCAGGTGTGGTGTTTCCGTACCAGCCCAGCCGGGGCCGGTACCAGTTCAATTACTACGAGGCGAAGCAGGCGTGCGAAGAGCAGGACGGACGCCTGGCCACCTACGCCCAGCTGTACCAGGGTGAGCGGCCGAACGCGGGGACTGCCAGGCCCTCTCCGGGCTGCCACGTGGGCCCCAGCGGGGGCGTGCTCGCGGCCGGCGCCCGCGGGTGACGCCCCCAACCCGCCGACCACGCCCCCCATCTCCCGCCAGCGTGGACGGAGGGTTTGGACTGGTGTAACGCGGGATGGCTGCTCGAGGGCTCCGTGCGCTACCCTGTGCTCACGGCGCGCGCTCCGTGCGGAGGCCGAGGTCGGCCAGGGATCCGCAGCTACGGGCCCCGCGACCAGAAGCGCGACCGCTACGACGCCTTCTGCTTCACCTCCGCTCTGGCGGGTGAGGGGCGGGGCGAGCGCACCCCTGCGACCGGAGGGGGTGGGGCCCGGAGGGCTGCGGGGAAGAGACCCTCCCTGCCTGCCACGGGTGCGGAGCGAGCGAGCGTGGCAGGGATTTGGGGCGGGGTCTGAGGAATGGGGCGGGGAAAGAACTGGCTGCTGCTGATCCCCCGCAGGCCTAGTTGTGCCTTTAGGACATTGCCCCCCTCCATCGCTCCGCCCACACAGGATCCAGCCCTCCTCCCGCAGCTCCACCTGCGCGCCCCCGCCTCTATGCTCCCTCACCTCCTATCCAAGTTGGGTTCCGCCCCTCCACCGGCTGCCCCCGACTCCGCTCCTGCCTCATCCCGCCCTGCCGGCTCTTGGCCAGTCGCTGACCCGCTCCGGTCCCCAGGCCACGTGTTCTTCGTGCCCGGGCGGCTGACGCTGTCTGAAGCCCACGCGGCGTGCCGGCGGCGTGGGGCCCTGGTGGCCAAGGTCGGGCACCTCTACGCCGCCTGGAAGTTCTCGGGGCTGGACCAGTGCGACGGCGGCTGGCTGGCTGACGGCAGCGTGCGCTTCCCCATCACCACGCCGCGGCCGCGCTGCGGGGGCCTCCCTGATCCCGGAGTGCGCAGCTTTGGCTTCCCCAGACCCCAGCAGGCGGCCTACGGGACCTACTGCTACTCCGAATAGCGGCCCACTGCACCCCCTCGGCGTGCGCGACAAAGCCTGCGAGTCCGGGTGGGTGTTGGTCTCCCCTGTCCCGCGAACCTCCCCTTCCGTCAGGCTAGGAGCACCCCCTGCTGACCCGCCTTCCTGGCCGAGGGCTGCGAGCCACGGATCCCGGCTGGCTGGGTGTCGGGAGGGGAGGTGCTGGCGCCTCTGGTGGCAGGGTGGGCCTTCGCACCCACGGGATTGAGGACCAGCAGCGGTGCGCCTGCCTCCGCATCTTTTGCTAGGGGGCGGAGGGCGCCCAGAGGACATTAACTGATTTCTGTGTTTAGCAATAAAATAACTTGAGGACTCTGTGTTGGGCGAAGCTGTAAGCGCGGCGAGGCATGGCGGGTGAGACGGATGACCTTGGACTCAGCGTGCTGACTGTGCCCCAAGAAGACAAAGTAAGAGGAGGAGCTGTTGCCGCTGGGGAGTGGGAATTGCGAGGAGAGGGCAACAAAAGGTCGAGGGAGACTTGGAAGCACCATCGTCAGCCTGGCGGCGGAGTGACGCCAGAGAACTCAGGATGGTGTTACGCCAGGCGCCACGAGGGGGCGCCACACACCAAAGCTTAGTTCAAATCTGCCAGGAGAAAAGCCCCAGGTCTACCCATGGCACCACAGAACAAACATTAGATGGACCTAAACATACCTCAAAATGTGTTTGTATCCTGCCAGTCCCCCAGAAGGACTTGCAGGACTGCTTAAAGACAGGAAAGTCATACGGGGAAGTAACTCTGCAGGCACCAATGCCAAAGAGGTCCCTGCTAGGTTGCTAGTTCAGGGTGATTGTGCATAGGGTTTAGCATTCACCACCATTATGGCCGCCAAGGCAAAAGGGCGACCCGAACCATGAACATTCTTAACATCTAGCTAAAGGAAACGTACCAGGACCTCAAGACACAAACTCAAATGTCAACTCGTTTTTCTTTAATATATAAATATTTTTGGATTTTATTTAAGCGGTCTAACTACAACACAAAAAGCCTGCGCTAGAGAATAAGAGTGACTGGAGCAAAGGATGTGAACTTCCTAACAGTGCTCAATGCGTATTGTAAAACTGCTTTCTAAGAGGGTTCTTGCAATAATTTTTTAAAAGACTTCTTACGGGACTTTATATACAAGGAATGATCAAACGAACAGCATACCAGTAACCCTCGTGCGGCAAATGCAGTATTTGTGCCAATTCCTAAGCTTTGGTTTTCTCTTCCTGGTCGCTGGATAGTAATATTTGCCTCCTAAGTTTCTTGTGAGCAATTAACAGGCAATGCATGTACTAAGTAGTACATGTCTGAAACACATAAGGGCCACTCAGAAAGTGGTACCTATAATAATAAGTGATTATTATTACTATTATAACAGAACTACAATAATAATTATTATCCAGATTCTTACCAGGTAGAATAGGATTGGTTGCTGTATCACACTCTATTAGGATAAGTTAACTATGCTGTGATAACAAACAACTCCCAAATCTCAGTGGCTTAAAACAACAAAGGTTTGTATCTCACGCAGGCTACATGTGCATCCTGGTCAAAAGGAGACTCTTCTCATTTTAGTTATTCAGGAACCCAGGCTGACAGAGTGGCCTCCATAGCAAATGCTGTCAATCATCATGCTAGAAGGAAAAAAAAAAGAGCCCTGGAGCTCAGACGGTCACAGAGGGTCACTACAGCCTGGAGGGACACCTGTCCTTGTCTCATCTGTTCACAACTCATTCTCTTCTGTGAACTGATAACATGGCCCCACTCAGTCACAAGGAGGTAGGAAAGAGACATCTTATCTTGGCCTAGAAGTGGAACTGGAAATATTTGATTAACAGCACTAATATCTACCATAAGCACAAAAGAAGACAGTCTAGAATCTGGGGCCTATTGGTAGTCACCCATTCTCCCACTGCATGCTCTTCCAGGTTTTCTAAGTTCTCGCCTATTTTGAAGTCAGAGCCCCAGAAGGCCAAGACTGTGGGCCTAGAAGCTCAGCAGCTTCAGCCTTTGTCAAAAGACCATATGAGAAGTGGTCACAGGAGTTGTTTTCCATTTGTTCTGGAAAGTTCTGGTTCCTCAACTATAGTATTGCCTGACAACTAATTCTTACAACTACTCTCCATACTGCTGTAACAATTTTTTTAATGGAGAATTTCAAACATACACACAAATAGAATAGTATCACGAATCCCCCATCATCCAGTTTGACCGTTTCACAATTCTGCCCTTCTTGTTTCATGAATTCCTGCTTGTGTTTTCTTTTGCTGGGGGTATTTTAAAGCAAATCCCAGACAGTCTATCATTTCACTCGTAAATACTCAGTACTATTTCTAACACACAGTGACTTAAAAATAACCACAATTCCATGATCATACTCTGCTGACTAAATTAATGTCATCTAATATTTAGTTCATGATCAATTTCTCCTGCATATCTAAAAATATATAATATTATAGTTGATTTGTTCAAACCAGGACTCAGCTAAGGTCTACTCACTGCATTTAATTAATTTTTTGGAGTTACTTTTTAAAGCATCTTTTAAGCTGTGCTTCATCCTTCTTCCTCTTATCTATGCCATTTTGTTTGTTTGTTGAAGAAACTGGGTCATTCTCCTGTCAAGCTTCCCATATTCTGGATTTGGTTGAGTGCATCCTTGCAGTGTCATTTAACATGTTCCGCTGTCCCCTGTAAATTACATTTATATTTTTATTTAATTTGATTTAATGTTCAGTTTGATTAAATGGCCATTCACTTTTTCCAGGAATATTTTATGAGTGATACCATATACTCTTTTTATCACATCAGGAGGTATGTGGTGTCTGGCTGTTGTATTAAAATAGTGATGCTAAGGTTGAGCAGTAAATTCACATAGTGTCAGTCTGATCCATTCAAAGCTCATTTCATTAGTTTCATATTAGCTGCTGTAACAAATCACCACAAACTTGATGGCTTGAGACAACAGAAGTTTATTCTTTTACATTCTGGAGGCCAAAAGCCCAAACTCAAAATGCTGGCATTTCCTCTGGTGACTCTGAGAATCCTTTCCTGCCCCTTCTATCTAGTGGTAGCCAGTGGCATCCCTTGGCTTTCTGTCTTCAATCTCTGTCTCTGTGGTCACATTGCCTCTTCCTCTTCACGTGCCTGTGTCTTCTCTACTGTCTCTCATAAGGACACTTGTCACTGGATTTATCCCACCTGGCTAATCCAGGATAATCTCATCTCAAAACCATTAACTGTGTTTAAGGAATGAATTCATGTAATAAATTGTATCTGCAAAGACCATTTATCCAGACAAGTTAACATTCACAGGTTTCAGGGACTAGGATAAGGACATAACTTTTTGTGCCTACAAGTCAACCCACTACACCCATCAGTTTTTTACCTACTGGCTGCTGACAGTCATTGTCTAGATCCAGTATTACATTAGGAGTGCAAAATGGAGATGTTCTAATTTCATCATTGCTCTTTCATTTACTAGCTGGGAATCATCTATAAAGAAAAATTTCCCTCAATTATTTTATTACTCTAACATATAATCCACTTGGGAAAGGTAGGCTTAATGCCTGATTCTCTTCCATTTGTCTTAGATAGATGCAACGGACTAAATGTTTGCATCCCCCCGACCCCCCCAGCCTCCCACCCCACCTCAAATTCATATGTTAAAAGTCTACTTTGGAGAGGGGGCCTTTGGGAGGCAATTAAATCATGAGGGCAGGGCCCTCATGATGGGATGGGTGTCATTATAAGAAAAGGGAGAACTTGCTCCCTGTCTCTGGTCTCCACCATGTGCGAGTGCAATGGGAAGACCAGATCTGGGGGCCTCCAGAACTGTGAGAAATAAATGTTTGTTGTTTAAGCCACCCAGTCTGTGGTAGTGCGTTATAGCAGCCTGAACTAAGACAACAGGGTTCCCCCAAAACAGATGTTGAGCCAAGACTCTGAGTGTGAGTAGTTTACTTGGGAGGTAATGCTAAGAGGCACTGGTGGAGTGGAGACAGACGGGGAAGGGAAGGAAGCCAGTGAGAGGCGTACAACAGAGCAGGGAAGCAACCGCGGCTCAGTCCTCCTGGGGAAGTCTGGAAGACCGTATAGAGCCCATCTCAGAGAATCCCACCTGATGGACAAAGAAACCCAGATATTACTCGTGAACTTTCTGGGTGAAAGGTGACGCCTGCTTCTGGGGGCATTAGCCCTCTCACCTTCCTAGCTAGCCCTGAGCGCAAACATGCTCCCACAGCCAGAAAAAAGGACCTCGGGCAGAGCCACAGGTGTTCACCAAGAAGCCTTCCCCCTGTAGAGTGAATGCTGAAGGATAGGGTGACAGCACAATCCACCCTCTGCACTGCTGCACTCCATTTGTGCCCCACGTTAAGTTCAGGTTGTCCTGTCACTGATTCTCTAAGGTGGTGGCTGACTACAGTTTCTAATTCTTTAAAGAGAAAGCAGGGCTCTGCTTACAATAGTGGGGCTCCTCGGGCAAAACTACAGTCACCATGGCAGCAGCTGTTTCCAAGGCCATAATCAATATTCAGCATCTCCTTCCTCCAGGTTCATTCTGTTGGTCTTCGGGCCTTTCACAGTGGAAAAACCCAGACCTTCATCCCTGAAGGCCTCAGCCTTTCATTCCGATGCCCTTGACAGGCCAACATTGCTGCAAATGCTTATCTGTGACTACCTCTGGACACAGGATAATCAAGATCAAATGTCTTTGCCAGTGTAATTCTTTTCTTTGCCTACTGGTCAGTTGGCATGAGGTGCCCCTAATATCCCAGAGGCTGCTGCAGCCTTACTTAGGTTTGGTGGTGCTCTTACTGTGACCCCTGGTGGCACATCTCCCGCCCTAGGAACTAGGCAGGGCTTCTCATCCTGCAGAGCCTCAATTTATAGGGACAGGAAGCACAAATTCCCCAAGTGGGTCTCTGGGACTGATGGTGAGAGGGGTATTTTACTTGTATACCCTGGCTGCTGTACCCATGATTTCTAGCCATCTGGGATACAGGACAATAATGGCATTGGTTCAATATATATACTGCATTTTGAAGGCCAGGACCCTCACCCCAGAGGATGTTTTCCCCAAGCTGGTATTTAGATGTGCTATAAAGAAGCTATGCTAATGTGCTGGCAGGCTGGCACTTTTGAGGCCTATTGTAGGGCCAATGGATCCTGTGGTCATGTGCTCATTGTCACATTCCCTTCACTGATTCGTGGTGATACTACAGGGGAGCTCAGAAGGATAAATAATTTTCTTTATGTCCTTGGATGTTGGTTCTGACCAAGGCACTCAGGCAGGGAAGGCAAATCATATCCGGCATATGTGTTGATACCAGTCAGGAGATGCTGCTCCCCCAGGCAGATTGAAAGAGTTACATTGTAACCAGCATGCTTCTCAGTGGCTGGTTGGTCTCTTTGAAGGATGGGACCACGCTGAGCATTCAGCACCCATCTCTGCTGCTAACAGGTTGAACACCCAGTAGCCCTGATGAGAAGGAGCCCGTGTTGTGAGCTCTTGCAGTCTCCTTTTCTACCACCACAATTCCTTGGTTCACAGGCCCACTGGGCAAGCCCTGGCATGGCACAGGACAAAGGCTGACTGTTCTGCACTGGAGTCCCTCTGGCCCCCTGGCTTTTCAGTGTGTCCTCTGCAGTGAATGTTCTTTAATGACACGGCCGTAAGACACAATGCCCACTCCTGTAAGTCTATCCATATAGCTCTTCCCTAGACTTCCTTATCTCCAACCTTCCAGTCCTGCCCAATCCTGGCCTGGCCAATCAACTACGCCATTTGCCAATGCTCGAGAGTCCATGTATATACTTCCCTTAAGTCACCTCTTGCTGCAAAGGAAGTGGCAGTGCACTGTGTGAGACCTCCTGTTCCTCACTGCTGTCTCTCAGGGCCAACCCTGATTGGAGCTGCAGTGTGGCAGCGGTCCACGGTTAGCTCCCATCAATAAATCAAAGTGACCCATCCATGAGCCAGACTTTTTCCTCTGAAGCCTGACTGCAGAGAAGCCCCGCAAGGCTATGGGTGAGCTGAGAGGGAGGCCTGGGCACTGCAGGGGTAAGTCCTGTGGGAGTTCCTGCTTCCTGCTCATGTAGCTTACTTGTACCCTCTGAATGCATTCACACCCAATCACAAATGTACCATTTTGGATTGGGCTGTGCGCACCCATGTGTGCTCAGGACTTGCTCATCGAATTCCTAGGTATTGATAGGAAAGTGAGACACGGAAGGGAAGGAGTCCAATAAATAACTGAGCAAATTATCCAAACAATTGAACAGGTTGATGATTGTGGGAGCTCAGAGCTAATGGGAACCCTGGGACATGTAGGGAGCTTGCCTCACGGTATTCCCACATGCCAGTCAAGGGGGCCAGAGTTTTAGTTGACTACTCGCCCTCTGTCAGTTTCCAGGGACACGGACTCTCGTGCACTTCTGACTTGCTGTCCACTTTGGCTGAGCACACCTCCACGGTCAGAAAAAAATCCTCAGGCAGTCAGCAGCAGCCTCAGGCTTGTGGAGGGGACTGCTAAGGGCATATAGTATATCGGGATCTGCAGTTCCCCATCGATTTTCAAAATTGAGAGTTGGTGCCCTATCAATGTCCAAATGTGACCAGTGATTTTATTTTTTAGTATCATTATGAACACATATATTTGATGTGTTTCAATTTCTTGTAGTCATTATTCATTTTAATTCTGCCCTTATTCAAATAATGCTCCTTGGACAGTAGGAGTCTTCTGAAATTGGCTCCTCTGCCCTTTTGACAAGAGCCTGACTTGAGTCTCCTAACTTCCTTATTCTCAAGTATGACAACCTTTCTTGACCCAGACCTGGAGTTTTCAACTAGAGTCCTGTCCTTTTAGTGGAAAGGGCTAGTTAGAGACCATAATCTGGGCCAAAGGGAGATTCATTGTTACTGGGTTGTCACTGGCCTTAAACTTTTTCAGTACACCTGAGATATATATACAAATCTTGAGTTCATGCTGTTATTTCCAATTCAGATTGCTTTCCTTACACTGAAAATCTTAGTTCCTAACACCATTACTATAATTACTTGCTTTATCACACTAAATAGTGCTTTTCAAAATAATGCCAACATTAAGATTTCTCCATGGTTCTTTTTGTTCTCAGGAATGTGTTGTCAAAATGCTGAGTTTTATAATCACTTAAAGAAAATTCTTCTATGTGGCTTTGCCTCTAGCTTCACATGCTAGGTGTGTTTACTTCACTTAGTTTTAGATTTTTTAGAGAGTGCATTACTTCTTTTTAATTAAATCTAAAATCAATTAATTTTTTTCCAATTCAATTTTGTTTTAATTATGTAAGACATTTCCATGGTTCCAACACCAAAACCATCGAACAGGATGTTATTAACATTTTGCAGGTGAAAAAGCTGAGGATCAGAGAGAATGGTACCTGCCCCAGCACCATAGAAAGTGAGTAGGCTTTCACCATCAGGAGGCAGGGAGCCTGAAGATGGGCTGGGCTGTGTCTCAAGTAGATTTGGGTATACTCAGACTCAAGCCCTCCAGTGCCTTCAGTTGTTCTTTCTGGAACAGTCTGTGGTGTCCTTGGAACACAAGAGTTTGCACCCTCCAAAGCAAGGGTGTATCAGCTTGGGGGGACACTTGGCTCCTGCTCATGCACCAGGGGCTCTCCCACAGTGCTGTTCAGCTTGTGGGTCCCATCACTGTCTTCCCACCCCCACCCCCAATGCGTTCAGCTGCAGGAGCCCTGAGAGCCACACCAAGTCATTCCTGGGCTGGGGTCCCGTGCTTCCTGGCCCCTTTCAGCAGCTATCAAAGACCCCATTCTCCAAACACAGCTGTGCCAGCGTTCAGCACTGCATTCATCCCCCCCTTTTCAGCCCCACTCCCACGTCCCCACGGCATGGGACCCAGGTGCCTGTGTAATGTGCAGGGCCTCTGAGAGGAACCAAGCTGCCTGTGCCCCCACCCCTTGTGCCCCTAAGTGGGGGGCAGGTGTTCAAGGGGCTGGAAGGACAAGCTCTCCCAGTGGCCACTGTGGCTACGAATCCAGTAAGGAAGGCTCAGGGCTAATACTGGAGCTGGAGGGAGCTGGTGGGGAACAACTTGGAGGTGGGATTCTATTTCCTCAACTTGGGTCATGGCCTCAGCTTTGGCCTGGATGGGGGATGTCAGGGTGGAGGGGGAGCGGAGCAGCAGGAGATTGATTGTTCTCATCCAGAGGGCCTGGAAAACTCCCCAGGGCTCAGGACGCTTGGAGATGAGCCAGCTGGGCTGCGCTTGGGAAAGAGGAGAGCTGCCCCCTCTCTCCCTCCTTCTCTTTCTTCTCTCCATCTCCCCCATTTTCTCTCCCCTGAAAGAAAGGCAGCTTGGGGGGGCCTGGAAGGAACCCTGGCCTGGTAGTCAGGACACTTGGTTTTTGGTTATGGTCAGTCATTGACATGCTTTGTGACCCTAGATAGTCACTTCATCTCTGGGTCTTAGTTTCCTTGTCCAGAAGCTACCTACGGTTACCTGAGACATTCTCCTTCTGTTACTGGGGCAGGAATTCTACTTGAAATCTGACTTCCATGCTTTCTGTGTCCTTTGATCCTGTCTGCCTTCAGCCAGTCCCTGAGGATCCCTTTCTTAGACCTCCAGGGGAAGGCCTTGGTTCTTGCCTCTTCTCAGAAAGGGAATAAAAATGGGGGCCACGAGGGAGTCACCTGGTCATGAGTCAAGATTCAAGTAAAGACAGCAAAGGAAGTCCCTGATCAGCAATTGCCAGTTCAAACTGCGACAGGTGGGTTAGACTTAAGCCTGTATTTCTAAAGCTGGACATGTTGGAAAGGTCTCGGGGAGAGGCTCAGTCCCCCACCTGGGAAATACTGGGAAATGACTCCTCTCTCAAATATGGAGCCTTTTCCAACCCATTTACGGAGGCATGTCCCGAAGACCTCTGCAGATGGGGGCGTGTGAGTGTAAGAATGTGTGTGCGTGCGTGTGTGCATGTGACTAGCTAAGAAAAAGGACTAAGTTTTGCTGAGCCCAGCCTATGGGCCAAGTGCTTCCCTTACCCAGCCCAAGTGCAATAGCTATTACCCAGTGCAGTGGGTACCGTTCAGCTCATTGTACAGAAGAAGAAACAGTTATGGTGAAAGGTTTTGCTGCTGCAAATGGCAAAACAGGAGTTTGCCCTTGGTGCCCAGAGACCTGACTGTCACCAATTTTCACAGCAGCAGCTGTCTTCTCTCTCACCCTGTCTGGTTTCCCACCAGGGATCTGCCTCTTGGAACAGACTGTCTGGTGCCAGCCCTTGTCCAGATCCAGGTGCTGCGGCCTCAGTCAAGGTTGGACTCCCCCAGGGCGCCCAAATGTGTGCCCATGCTACTAGTCACGAAGGGAGGTGGCAAAGAAGGTCATTTTCTTGGTCTTTCCTGATTACAGCCGGGTTTCCCGAGGCGAGAACTGTGGTTACATGCAAACCAACACTGGGATTGAATTTCAGCCACTTGGTTGCCTGGCTCTGCCTGGCGGGGTGCGAGCCCCACGGAGCCCCTGTAGAGCCGAGCGTAGCCCGTGTGGGGGCAGGCTGGATGCACACATCATTGCTGAGGCTGTCCTGGCAGAGGGGAGTTCTCTTTCAACTCAGGGATGCAGGGTCTGGGGGGAGCAAAGGAAGGTCCTAGGGCTACTAGGCACTGCCCAGGTCTGTTCCCAAAGGCCTTCTCAGATCGCCCTCTCCACTAGAGGACTTGGGACAACATTACCAAGGCCTAAAATAAGTGCCTGGTCCAGAGTGGACATTCGGACATGCACTTAATACTTGTTTAATGAAATGAATAAATGGAGGTCTCTTCTTCCCCAGACTCTCCCAGACATCTTGCTCTGCCCTCTTCATCTCACATCCCTGCCAGGGCATTTCTCTTATTGAGGGATCCTACCATCCACCACCCCCAGGTTTTCTTGTCCTATCTCTAGAGTAGATAGATCTCTGGGAAGGGGCCCATCTTACCTTTAGGTCATCAAGGATTTGGGGAGGAGTTTTATTGTGAGCTTCTCAAAGCCCTTGGGAACCAAATCCACAGCAATGGGAATAGAAGCGCAGGCAGTGGGGAGCAGAGCAGCTGGGGCATCAAAAATTCCCACACATGCGGGAGGGATATGGGGGCGGTCTAGACCGAAGGGCAAGGACCTGCCTGGAAGTTGCACTTGCATTGCAGGCACACCACTTTACCTGGGATATTTTGGGGGTACTACTGAAGATTATGGGGATCAGAGCCCCAACAAGCTCTCCTTGGTGCTACTATTGGTATCCAGGGGAGAGAATCCAGGCGTCTGGCTGCCCACAGTCTGTGCCAGGGGCTTTGCCTCTAGTCCCAGGAGGGAGGAGGGAAGTAGTGGGGATGGGGGAGAGGAGAGCCTGGGAAAGTGGACGGAGGCGGAGGCCCTGGAGCCGGGGAGGAGTGTGTCATTGGTATTCTGGATGCTAAGAAGTCCCCACTGTCTGGACAACACTCAAGGCCCACCCCCTGGCACCGGGCAGCACATTCATCAGCAGTAGCCCTGGCCAGAGGGCCCTCTGGGCTCCCAGCAACGCCTGCATTTTGCACATTGGTTTGCATGACCAGTAATATCCATTCCTAGTACCACTCCTACCCCCTCACCATGTCTAGAGAGTCCCTGACTTGTTTTGCTTAACTTATCAATCTACTGTCTAACCTCCATTCCTCCAGCTGCAAAGTCAGCTCCTCCTCTGTGCAGGGAGTGGGAGCGCCACAGGAGACAAAATCCAATCAGAGCTTCCTCCAGGGAGGTGCCTATGGTCATTTGCACCTCATTCTGCCTTCAAAAAGCAGCTTCCTGCCCCCATTTTTATGTGGGTGTGGGATGTCTCTCCAGGAGCAAAGCTTCGCATTCTCCCTTCCCCCTTCCCCCTACTATCTAAGCCTGGGTCCCTCCTCCTCGCCCCAGCGGGAAGTCCCTCCGGCTGTCTAACTTCCATCCCTCTTGCTGCAACATCATCCTCGGCCCCAGCGCTCCCGCCCGCCCCTCTGCCCTCCCTCCCTACTCCAAGTCCTCGGCTTCTCAACCCAGAACGATGTCCTACTTCTCTCGTCCTTGCTCTCGCTGCTGCCGCCGGGAACCGACGCAGAGAAGGCAGCGGGTCCCGTGACCTTCCTGAGCCCCCCGCGTTCCCGGTCAGGGGGCGGGGGCGGCCCTCTGGAAGGGTGGGGCGGGGCGGGGGGAAGAAAGGGGGTTTTGTGCGGCGGCCGGCGGCCCGGCGCCCTCTTCCGAGCGTCCTGCGGGCCCAGCCTCTCCCTGCGCCCGCGCAGTCCCCGCCGCAGTCTCGGCCGCGGCTGCAGGACCAAGCCGTGGACCTCGAGCAGACCCCCGGAGGAGGCGGCAAACTTCGCGGTGCGGCACCCCCACCCCAGCCCAGGGCCGCCCGCCGGCAGGTGAGTGCGTCCGCAGCCCGGAGCGGGAGAGGAAAGGCAGCGCCCACCGCTGCCCGGGGTCCGCGCCCCCTCTCGCCGCCCTGGCCTTCAGAGGCTCCGGCTCACCGGACTCGCCAGCCCCCGGCACCTGCGCGAGGTCCGCTGTGGGCCCGCCCGGAGCGCTACGGCGCCTGCTGCCGGCGCCACCTCTGCCGCTGGCCCCCCATTGCTGCTTGCAGTCTGCCCGGCAGCCCCCTGGAGTCGGCGGGTTTAGGGGAGCGCCCCGCTTGGTCCTTGGGTCCTCCTTCCTGCACGCTCCAGGCCCCGCGCCGCGCCGAGGTTCCTGACCTTTTCCTGGGCAGGGCGGCGGCGGTGCGAGGCAGTCCCCGACTTCGCGCCCACCCGCCGTGGAGGCAGCCCCGCGGGAGGAGCCGCTCCCAGCACCCTTCCTCTGGGGACACCTCCGCGGAGCCCGAAGGACAGCCGTTAGGAGCCGCTGTAGCGGGTGGTCGAGGCGCCCACTGGAGCTGGAATCCTAACTCTGCCACTTACTTGCTGTGCGACCTTGAGCAAGTTAGTTGACCTCTCTGAACCTCGGGTTCCTCATCAATGTAGCGCATAAACAGCATTTTTCTCAAAGTTGAGGTTATACCTGGAAGCACTTAGTAAAAGCCTTGCTCAGCAGGTAAGTGGGCAGAAACTGTTAGCTGGATTCCAGTTACCACTCCTGCTTTCCTTCCTAGCACCACTGGTGGTCTGGGAACCCCTCCCACTGTACTTCCGTACCTACCTCCTATCAGAATAGCTCTGCCCACGTGTTTCTAACAGCACCAAGAGATCTGCCGTCAATTTTTGCACTATTGCAGCACTGTTTTGCACAATGCAGCACTGTTAACACCTGTGTTACTTCTACCCCAGACAATACCAGTAACATCAGGGGGCACTGTTACCCATAGACCCTCCCACAGTACTACCAATGCCTGTGTCCTCATGGGTAACAGCACCGTCCACATTTCAGATGTTATCCTAGGAGGAGCTGCTACAATAGCTCAGCTGGTGATGTTGCTAATAGTATTATTAGTTGTACTTCCAATAAAATAGGACCATTTATGCGATTACTGCAATTACTCCTGCAGGCCCTGCTAAGGCCTGACCGATACTGTTCGTGTTGCTGCTTACACAGCCACTAGGGATAGCTGAGAGGCTCCCTTCTGCTGTGATGGGAGCTCTGACCTCCTGTGCGTCCCTGCCAACCAGATGAGTGAGCGCTGGAGCTATGTTCCTATGGAGCAGCCAGCTGGTGGGCATTCAGCATGGTGATGTGGGTGTTGGGTGTGTGTAGGCACGTGCACTCATGCATGTGTGGGCATGCATGTGCTCGCACACGCGCATGCACACACACACAGAGCCTGCTCTTGATTCTCTGCGGATTGGGTCTATGGAGACTGTGAGGGAAATGGATGTCCGTGGTCAGACAGGAATGATAATGTAACAGGAGGGAAGTTTCCTAAACAGCTCCAGAAATTCAAGACAAGGAAAGAAACTTAGAAGCTGGAGTAGGAAGAGAGAGCTGGAGAGAAGGATGATGTGGCATCAGAGAGGGACAGGAAGACCGCTGAGCTCTTGAGGTTAGAGATGGAGTGGCGTGTCCTGCTCGGGAGGACAAGGAGATGGAGGAGAGGAGGTGGGTGAGTGTGTGGAGAAGGCCAAGGCCTGGACCCCTAGGTCTGTGTCTGGTGCTGGATGACAGGATGCTTAACTGTTCTCAGGACTCCTTCCATACAGGGAGGGGCTGAGTGAGGCCCAAGCTCGGTGTGGTTAGGGGGCAGGAGGGGAGGGGTGCAGCACTCTCTGATTGTGAGAATCATACAATCAGGACCACCCGTTAGCCTCTCTCGGGTCAGTGACTCCTGGTCCTGGAGGTGGGAGTGAGACACCTTCTATGTTCCAGGGTGTCCAGGTCCTCCTCAGCCCTGGACCTCCTCCCTTCATTCCCCCATCTTCCAAACAGAGGTGAATGGGAGTCCAGAACGTTGGTCCCAGAAAGGCTCCAACTATATGGGTTTCTGGGCCACCTGTCAGAGAGCTGGGACCAGGTCTGTGAGCAGTTCCAGCTCCAGCCCAAAGAGAAGGGAGGGAGGGTGCCAGGAAGGGGCCTGGCCCAGGACCTGGCACAGCTCAAATGTCTCCCTGGCAGGCACTGGCTGCTGATGCCAAATGGTCCTTCCAACCCCCAAAAGCAGTCCTCCGAAGGGCCCCCCTCCCCAGAGCTGGTCTTGGCGATCCTCTGATCTGGCCCCATCAGTAACCTCCTCCCTCTCAAAGGTCAGAGAGAGACCCTGGGCATCTGGCTTCTGCCACTCCTCCCCCAACTCTGACCCCAAGGAGATGATACCCAGGCACAGTGGGAGAAATAAGTGGTAGGGAAGCATCCCTAGGAGGGTCTGGGATCCCTGGGAGGATCTGGGAGAAGACGGAAATTTCCCATCAGCTTAAGCTCAGGAAAAGGGAGGAAGGCAGAGCCTGAAAGGGTGGGGAAAATGGGGTTGAATAATGGGCCTGCAGTGGGAATGCACAGCCAGTGGGAATGAGCCAATCTCTAGGAAGTCTTGACTGCAGATTAACCTTTATCCCTCCTGCTGGCCTGGCCTATTCCAAGGCAGACTTGGGTCTCCATGCTCTTCTAAGTCTAGCCTGACTCCTAAAAATGATGCTGGACACTAGCTCTGCAGTCTTCCCTCCTGGGTGCACACTGGCCTGGTGCCTGACTTGCTGTGCTGGGGACTCGGGGTCAACTCTCTCCCTCTCTGGGCCCCATTTCTCAATGTCATATCCCCTCATCTATCAGTTATGAGAGTGTAAGTGCTTTAAGATCTTCAGAGGAATATTCTGGGTTCTCAGAGTTTCTGATAGCTAAGGGTGGGAGGAAGATGGCCCCTCCTATTTATTCTTAGCCCCCCTGAGCCCACTCTGCCAGCCTGGGACTGGGGTGAGGGAAGTGAGAGGCTGGATGGAAGCCAGACTGGCAGAGACAGGGGCTTTGTCCCAGATGCTTTCTGAGCCAGGAGATCCGGTGGGAAAGCCCGTGCCAGGCAGGAAGGAAAGGCTGGGAGGAAGAAGGGAGAAGGCAGCCAAGGATGGGGGTGGAGTATCCTGAGGAATAAAGAGAAGACTTTCCCTGTAAGTAATGGTGGGGTTGGGGGAGGTCCAGGAGGGGTTGGGCTGGAGAGAAGTTGTACAGTGCCCAGGTTCAGTCTAGGAGGTCCTCCTGGAGGAGCTACGTGGGTATGGCATTCAGGGAGGGAAAGTTCAAGGCGTATTGTGGGAGGAGTCTGGCACTGGGTGGAGCAGAGGGAATTCTTAGTATAATAGCACCCACCATTCATGCTCTAAGCACTTATTGAGCTCCTACTGTGTGCCTGGTGCTGTGCATTTGTACCGGCCTTTTCAGATATAAAGCACTCTCAAAGCCCACGGCCTCATCACAACCTGTGAGGTGGTAGTAATGGTGCTCTTTTACAAGTAAGGAAATAAAGGCCCAGAGAGCATAAGTAATTTGCCTTACATCACAAAGAGAGCTGACTAGGACCCAGGTGTTGGCTGAGGGAGAATCCCTTGGCAGGCAGACAGGGATCAGGACCAGAGAGTTAATGGTGAGGTGGGGACAGTGGGTTTAAGTCCCTGTATAAGTCCAGGGACCAGGACCTGTGTAAGTCCACATAGATGTGGTACGGAGCCAGAAGTCTATCCTGAGGTCTAACCCCATCTTTCCTCCTCAAGTCCCTCCATCAGCCTGCAGCATGGCCCCATTGTTCCTGCCCCTGCTGGCAACCCTGGCCCTGGCCCAGGTCCCTGCGGCCTTAGCTGATGCCCTGGAAAGGGACAGCTCAGGTAAGCAATCCACTTAGGATCACTGTCTGTCTCCTGCATCTCCCCTGTGGTGGGGGTGGCCTCCTGTTGGGCCCTACCGAACTCTTCCAGTCTTGGGAGACCCAGGGAGGAGATGGAGTTGGGAGGACTCTGGGGGAAAGTCCGGGCTGGGACACTTGAAAATAAGTGGGCTCCTAGGAGGTGGTGGAAACTTGGGGTAGAGCCGGGGAGGGGCACTAGGTACAAGGCTGCCAATCTGTGGGGGACTCTGGGACCCAGATGAATGGGGGGGACACTGAGAACAGGATGAATGCAGCGAGGCAGAATGGGGATGGAGCTGGGAATCTGGGGGTCAAGTCTGAAAGTGAGTCTGAAGGGGACAGACTGGGAAACAGAACAAGGCTGGAGGACCCAGGGAGGAAGGTCAGAAGACCCCGGGGTGTGGCCCAGGACCCCCGTGGAGGTACCAGGCGACTATAGGGGCAGAATTGACTGGGAGACTTCGGGGCAGATCTGGAGACCATAGGGGTGGGCCCTGGAGACCTAGAGGTGCTGTTTGCAGGACCCCAGGGGGCCAGGAAAACCCAAGGGTGAGGAGGGGCAATCCCGGGGCTGGTCTGAAGAATCCTGAAGCCAGGCAAGAGGGATCCTTGGGCAGAGCTTGGAAACCCCCTGTGGGACTGGGTGGGACCAGAGCACGCATTTCCAGCCCACCCCACCCGCCCACAGAGGACCGGGCCTTCCGTGTGCGCATCGCGGGCACCGCGCCGCTGCAGGGTGTGCTGGGCGGCACCCTCACCATCCCATGCCACGTTCACTACCTGCGGCCACTGCCTGGCCGCCGGGCTGTGCTGGGCTCCCCGAGGGTCAAGTGGACCTTCCTGTCCGGGGGCCGGGAGGCCGAGGTGCTGGTGGCCCGGGGGCTGCGCGTCAAGGTGAGCGAAGCCTACCGGTTCCGCGTGGCGCTGCCTGCCTACCCGGCGTCTCTCACCAATGTCTCCCTGGCTCTGAGCGAGCTGCGGCCCAACGACTCAGGCATCTACCGCTGCGAGGTCCAACATGGCATAGATGACAGCAGTGACGCTGTGGAGGTCAAGGTCAAAGGTGAGAGGGCAGGGACAGGGAGAGGTTCCTGAGAGAAGGAGGGAAGGGCGCCTGCCCTCAGGGAGCCCACAGTCTGAGAGGGGAGCCAAGACACCTGGAAGGCACAGACTGAGTTGAGAAAGGAGTAGACACAGGCTTTTGTTACCTCCTTTCTCCCATCAGGTGGAGGCAATTCTACCCACAGTCTAACATAAGCCCCTCATGCTGATTAGTGAGCGTGATTTGAGCTTTCCCCTTTGTGTCCTGGGGTGTGACCAGGCTGGTGAGGGGAGGTCATTGTGCTGGGGGATTTTGCCTCAGGAGTCCCTTCTGCCTCTCAGGGGTCGTCTTTCTCTACCGCGAGGGTTCAGCCCGCTACGCTTTCTCCTTCTCTGGGGCCCAGGAGGCCTGTGCCCGCATCGGAGCCCGCATCGCCACCCCGGAGCAGCTCTATGCCGCCTACCTCGGGGGCTATGAGCAGTGTGATGCTGGCTGGCTGTCCGACCAGACTGTGAGGTGGGCTGGGGCTGTGGACCAGGAGCTTCTAGTTGTCTCTGAGGCAGCTGTGGCCTCTGGTCCTGCCAGGGGCTGCCTGCTGCCCCAGACTAGCCATACAGGGCCCCCCACCTCAGGGGAATGAGGCTGGTCTGCATAGAGTGAGTGAGGACCCTGCCCTGGGAGTGTGGGTCCCTCAGAGCTGGGAAGACAATTGGCTGTACTGAAAGGCAGTGTGATTCAGGACAGATGCCTGGGTGTGGCTCCCTACGGAGGGCATCTGTACCTCCTTCCAGGTATCCCATCCAGACCCCGCGAGAGGCCTGTTATGGAGACATGGATGGTTTCCCTGGGGTCCGGAACTATGGAGTGGTAGACCCAGATGACCTCTATGATGTCTACTGTTATGCTGAAGACCTGAACGGTGATTGGGGTGAGGGGTTCTTAGGTTAGAGCTCCTTCTCCAGTGCTACCCATAGTTGCCCCTGGAGCCTCTGCTGGACCTTCCTGTCTGTCCCTCATGTGTTTAAGGGGGTACCCAGGGGGTAAGGAAACAGTCAGTGTCCCTCCCTCTGAACCCTGTCACAGAGGCAAGTTCATGGCCCAAACCTCAAATAGGTGGTAGGAGACTGAGTTTGAGTTTTGACTCTGCTGCTACCTGCTGTGCGTGCACTTTCTACCTCTTGGCATCTCTGGGCCTCGGTTTCCTTCTTTGCAGAATGAGGAAGTAGGGCCATTTTCCTTGAGCAATCCTGTCCATGCCAAGGTTCTCTCCAGACTTTGATCCTATGAAGTAGAATAGTTGAATCTGTGTTATGGACGAGAAGACTGAGGCCTAGAGAAGCCTGCCCTGTGTCTCTGAGGGAGCCAAGGGTGGAAGGGGATGCCAGCATCCTGGTAACCCAGCCTCCCCTTCCCTAGCAGGAGAGCTGTTCCTGGGCGCCCCTCCAGACAAGCTGACGTTGGAGGAGGCACGGGCATACTGCCGGGAGCGGGGTGCGGAGATTGCCACCACGGGCCAGCTGTATGCAGCCTGGGATGGTGGCCTGGACCGCTGCAGCCCGGGCTGGCTGGCCGATGGCAGTGTGCGCTACCCCATTGTCACACCCAGCCGGCGCTGCGGTGGGGGCCTGCCTGGTGTCAAGACTCTCTTCCTCTTCCCCAACCAGACCGGCTTCCCCAACAGGCACAGTCGCTTCAATGTCTACTGCTTCCGAGGTGAGCCGGCCTCCCTGCAGAGGCAGAGACCAACCCCAGAGAGGCAGGGCAGCACGCTAAAATCCTACGCCAGCTCTGAGCTTTTGTCTCTCAGGTCTTTGCCATGTGCTTCAAGGAGCCTTGGGTGATGCCCAGCTTGCCACTTCGGGTTCTAATTCTGGTCATGCCCTCTGGTTTGGGCTGTGTGACCTCACGGAGTACTCACCTCTCTGCCTCTGTTCACCTGCCTTCACATGGCGAGTCTGGTCTTGTCTGTTCTAGTTTCAAAGCCACCTTTCCCATATTGGGCTGCCAAGTGTGTTTTCATTTCCGGTCATCTTAGTAGAGTAGAGATGACCAACATTCTCTGAATCCAGCAAATGATCTGCTCCAGTTAACCAAATGCCCTCAAGGGCCCTCAGGGCTGTTTACAGAGCCGTTAGCTTGAAGTTGTTGGATCTTAGGCGCCAAACACTGAAGAGCAGACACAGGTCTTCCTCAGGGAGCAAGTCCTCAAGGAAAGTCGGGTGTAGAGATGGCCTCCTGCCCTCATCTTATACTGGGAGCCAAAGGGGAGGCAGTGCCGGGGGCAGAGGCCTAAGGTGACTGGCAGTCAAGGAGGCATTGCCATGGATGTCTGGGCCCTTGCTTCAGCTGTAAGCCTGTGGTACTGGTGCGAGGGGTGGAAGCAGAAGTGGGAGAACAAGGTACAGCCTTTACCCTCGGGGAGCTCTTAGTCTGAAGGGGGAAGACATGGTTTTTGCCATGGGCGCCTCCAGTCTGCCGGAAGATGAGACTCCCAGCATGAGACTCCCACTTTGCTCCCAGCATGAAGTGACACTGAGAGAAAATAATTACTTCTGCTGGGACAGATCTCCAAACATCTTTGGCCTGGGGCTAGGGAGGGGTTGGGAATTGAAGTGCATAGGAAGACATGTCCACCTGGAAAGGTTTACTGGATTGGGGTGGTGTGATAATAATAGCTAACAGGTCCGTCCACTGCTTATGATTCTGTGCTTTTTAGTGTTCTAAAAAGAAATGGAAGGAGGAATTGAATTAAGAGGAGGGCAGAGGGGAGAGGATGTCTATGGTTGGAAGCAGGTGGAGGATGGAGGCAGACAAGGGCACAGGTTTGCTTGTCTTGCATGAGCAGGGCTCAGTGGAGTAGGTGACGAGGGCAGGCCGTGCTGTCCTGTCTCATGTGGCTGAGCACAGACGGCCCTCAGGGCTTTTCTTAGCCCAGTTCCACCTTCGTTTCATTGGTGTTGAGCTCTTAGCTCCCTTGAGACAAGGTGATCCATTCTAGAGCTCTGGTTATTTGAAGGGAACAGATTGCAGAAGGATGGGGCAGTCCATTCTTTTGCCCTCTTGCCCCGGCATGAGACCGTCAGGTGGAGACTGTTGAGTGTTCTTGCACCCTGCCCTTCAGCTCTCCTGTGGTGATGGCAGCCTATCCCTTCCATTTCAAACATCTTGGGAGCACTGGGATCCCTCACACCTTGCCCCAAGACCAGGATCCCGAGGTGCTGAGACGATTCTGTCCATCCTTCTGCCTCCAATTCCTCCCTCAAGGGACTGTCTCTTCCCGGAGCCTCTCCTGACCATCTGTCTGAAGCAGTAATTCCCACTATCCTGTCTCCTCACTCTGCTTACTTGCTCTCTATGTGGTAACATTATGTTTATTTGTTCATTGTCTTATCTAGCTTATAAGTTCCCTTGACGGCAGGTAGCTTGCTGTTTTGACACATACTGCGCACTTGATGAATGCTTGAGGAATGAGTGATAGAATCTCAGAATGTTCCCTGGGTCCCATGGGGAAGATGAGAGAGAATTAAGAGAATTCCATGGTCTCTGGGTCTACTACAGAACCCTCACATGCCACCGTGACCTGGGAGGGCACAGCTGCGTATTTAACCTCCCACTGGCACCTTCCTCCTGTCACAGACTCTGCCCAGCCCTCTGCCATCCCTGAGGTCTCCAACCCAGCCTCCGACCTGGCCTCTGATGGACTGGAAGCCATTGTCACAGTGACAGAGACCCTGGAGGAACTGCAGCTGCCGCAAGGAGCTGTGGAGAGCGAGTCCCGAGGAGCCATCTACTCCATTCCCATCGTGGAGGATGGAGGAGGTGGAAGCTCCACTCCAGAAGACCCAGCAGAAGCCCCTAGGACCCTCCTAGGTAACTCAAATTCCTTATCCTGGGAGAAGATGAGGGCAGAAGGTGCAAGCCCAGTGGATGCCGTAATTAGGGCTTGGGTTAGGGCTGGGGTTATGGTGGCATGACTCTGCCCTGTCATTTCTCAGCAGCTCAGTGTGCAGGGCATCTCTCTTGTCTCTCTCCAACCTTTGCCTTTCCAGCAAATTCCACTCCAAACTCTCTGGGTCTGGAGATGCTTGGACTAAGGAGCTGCCTTCTGGGAAGGAGGGGCCTCTTTTTTTGGTCCCTCCTCTTCCTCACCTACCCAAAATAGACTAGAGAATTTTAACAGGCTAGGAGAGGGAGATGCAATGACCGTGTTTCCCTGGGGACAGCTCACAGAACCTTCCCAAGTGTTGCCTGAACATTGCAGCTCAAGTTGAAGTTCTTTCAGTTTGGAGCAAAGACAGCTCTCCCAGGACAGGCTCTTCCCTCTGGCCCCAAGCCTCACACCCCCAGCCCTGCCTTTCTTGCCGTCCCCCTTCCTGCTTTCAGGCCCCTGGTGGGTGCTGTCCCTGGTGCTGAACCATCTGTGCTTTGTCTAGAATTCAAAACCCAAACCATTGTACCTCCCTTGGGGTCCTCAGAAGAGGAAGACAAGGTGTTGGAGGAAGATGAGAAATACAAGGATGAAGAGAAAGAGGAGGAGGAAGAAGAGGAGGAGGTGGAAGATGAGGCCCTGTGGGCCTGGCCCAGCGAGCTCAGCAGCCTGGATGAAGAGGCCTATCTCCCCACTGAGCCGGCCCTAGAGGAATCACTTTCTGAGGCAACCCCGCTGCTGACAAGGGCAGTCCTACAGCGTGATGCATCACCACCACCTGATGGAGAGCCAGAGGCCCCTAGGCCTCCAGGGGTCCTTGGACCACCCACTGAGACTCTGCCCACTCCCAGGGAGGGGAGCCTGGCACCCCCACCGCCTTTCACTCCAGCTGGGGCAAGAGAGGTTGGGGAGGAGACTGGGGGTCCTGAGCTGTCTGGGGTCCCTCAAGGAGAGAGTGAGGAGACAGGGAGCTCCGAGGAGTCTCCTCTCCTGCTTCCAGCCACAAGGGCCCCTGAGGGTCCCGGGGACCCGGAGGCCCCCTCTGAAGAGAATTCTGGAAGAACTGTCCCAGCAGGGACCTCAGTTCGGGCCCAGCCGGTGCTGCCCACTGACAGCGCTGGCCAAGGCGGAGTGGCCGTGGCCCCCTCACCAGGTAACTGTGCCCAAGGCTCAACTGCTGTCTTTCTCCTTCTCTCCCTGCAGCTCTGGTGCACCTGACCTGTGGTCCTTTAACCCACCATTGCCCCAGCCTCTCTTGTCCTTTGCCGTCTTTATCCTACCCACCTCTACCTGTAGTTTTCCGAACTTGGATGCCCCACCTGTGACCTCCATCCCAGCATTCTGATCCCTCACACCATCATCCCCAGCTCCATGACTCCCATCCTGTGACCCTCTCCCTGTTTCTGAAGCCCTCACCCTGGGACCCCAGTCCCACCACTGACCACCTGGGACTCTTCCATACTCTCAGCTCTCCACCTGTAACTCACATCTTACTGGCTCATGGGATAGGGTACCCTGTCACCTATTGCACTCTTCGGGTCCCAGGCCCCTCTTACACTGCTCCCTTCCCTCTCCTGTGTGCCACCTGCAGCCCCTGCAGCCACCCCCACTGATAGCAGGGAAGCCTGGGGTTCCCTCCCTGCCCCTCATCCTCTGGGGTCTAGGAGAGTCCTTACTCCTACAGAGCCTTAAGCAACTACTTCTGTGAAGTATTTTTAAAAACTGTTTCATGGAAAACAAGCCTTGGAAATAAATCTCTATTAAACCTCTTTATAACCAATATCTGGCACCCTCTGTCTCTCCCCTCAGCTGTCTGCCCATTTCAGTCCATGGATTTGTGTCATGGGTAGCTCTTTGGTGCTTCTTTTTGGTACCATCTCTCTCCTCTCTTTCTCTGTGTCTGTGTGTTTTTCTCATCTGCAAGCTTTCCTGTCCTAGCAGTGTAACAGCCCCTTGCTGTTCCCTTCTCCTCTTCTTCTCAGACTCCACTTTCTTGCCTGACTGCTGCGACCCCAAATCTGACTGTTTACATTACCTCAGAGAAGTCATTGCGAATCAGTCTGCAAGAGTACTGGGAGTTGTAGTCCCTCACCCCTGATGGGGAGAAGCCTCTGCAACCCGGAGTGTGCCCTGTGTGTGTGTTCATTTCTGATCCATCTTGATGGCTCCCGTATAGCGATGCATACAGAGCAGTGACTGAAAAAGTCCCTTTTAGAGGCTGGTCCCTGGGGTCCAGGTGTCCCGGGGCCCTGTTCCTAGCATCTCAGCGGGTGGGTTTTATCTAGCACTCGTCCCCGCTGCCCTCAGCATCCCCCTCCTCCACTAACCCCTGCACTAATGACCACTCAGCCCCCTAGGAAGAATGGATTCACCCTCCTCCCTGAATCCAAAGGATCTCAAGGTCTCTAATGTTGGAGAAGATACAAAGCAGGGGACGAGGATGGAGAGGGACTAAAGAGGAATGAGGGGTTAGGTTCTGGGGCCTGAGAGAAGTCCTACCTATTCAGGGAAGGTTGGGCTTGCCAGTGGACACCCCTGGAAAAGGCCGGGATCCTCCGAGTCCCAGATGGCCCAGGTGGGCTAGAGGCCCCTGCATCACACCCAGGCTCACCCATTTCAACGATTGTCTCCTGTCCAGCTGGCCTTGGGGTTGAGCACTGCGAGGAGCAGGGAGAGGAGCAGCATAGGAAGTGCCTGCCATGTCTTAGTTACCACCCACGGAGGATGAGTGAGGGACCCTCTCACACACCATTGCAGCAAGAGGGAAAAGAAAACTTAATTGTGTATAGTAGCCAGCCCAAAGAGTGGGAGGAAGGAGGACCAGAAAGTTCCACAAGGAGTCTCTCCACCCAACTCTGCCTGTGCTGATTCAGGTTCTGCAGCCCACAGCCAGGGGAGGGACTTATGGCCTGGGTAGGGAACCAGGCACCAGGTTTGAGGGTCTCTATCCCTTAGGGTTGGGGGTTGGACAGAGGAGCAGAGAGGACAACAGGAGGAGCAGGAAAGTGTGAGGAGTGGAAGGGGGTTCAGGAGACTTACCCTCTGTGGGAACTGGTGCTTAATGGGTTAAATAAAACACCTCCCCTCCTCACCTTTGCCCAGGAAATAGAACTACCAGTTTGGCAGGAGGGAAGATGACAGGGTAGTGGTGCTGGAACAGCTGATTCATTTTACCCAAAACAGCTAGGGCATCCAGCAAGATTCTTTGAATCAACTCCAGCTTCTCCTCCCCCCACCTCTGCTCTGATGCCCATCTCCCCCCAGGCAGTGAGTTCTCAGGCCAGAGTGAAGCACTGTGGGCTTTGCCCTTGGCTGCTAAAGGCTGATGGCACAATCTAAGGAGTCCTGCCCAGGGGTGTTCCACATCCCAGGGCTGAGAGCTCCGGCCTGCACTGTGTCTGTCTGTGGTGCCATCTTCCCCTGGGTCATCTGGAGCAGAACGAAGTCGAATCTGTCAGCCCTTCTGGCACCCAGGGCCAGCCTAAGAGCTGCCACCTCCCACCCCAGGACCCAGAGAGGATCGAGCCCAGGAGGAGAAGGCAGATGGCCTTGCCAGACAGAGCTGGGCTCAGACTGCAGATGGCAGGCCTTCAGTGAAGTGTGTTAGTCTAAGAGGACTACCTGGAGGAGGGGGAGCCAGAGGGAGCAAGATGGATTGAAGGGGTTTCTAGGCTGGGGGACCTGCAGAAGGCTGGAAATGGAGCGGGGAAGGGGAGCCTGGCGAGGGGGAAGAGTCTGGGGAGATGAGAAGGGAAGCAAAGGGGCCTGATGGTGATGACGGCAGGACAGAGGGAGCCGCTGCAGCGTAGTTCCTGGGGTTGGGTTGGAGGCACAGAGAGGGAAGTGGATCTTCACTAACAGTTTCTGGGGCTGCCTCTGCCCAGCGGACGGCAGGAGGAATGGTTAGCTCCCACCTGGACCACCCCAGTATCGGGCCCCAGAGCAGTTAAGGGCAGGTCACATCTCACTGTTGCTATGGTGACTCTCCTCTCCTCTCCCCTCCAGGTCCGCCCTGCCCACCTAGTCTATACCAGACTGGGCTGGGACCTGGCACTGGCACAAAGACAAGGGGTGGGGGACTGAACTCCAGTCCCAGAGTAGTAAAGTGATCTCCCAGTGTCACCCAGCACGTCCAAGAGCCAGATAAGAGTCCAGGTCTCATGACTGACAGCCCGGTATCTTGCCTCTTGGTGGCGCTGGGTCCTGAGGGCCTTCCTGGTCACTTCCTCCAGTGCCTGTTGGACTAGGCCCACACTGGCAGGCGTGACAATAACCAGCGTAGGGCCGAGTCAGTGTTGAAGTTGGGGGATGGGGAGGAGGGGCGGGGTGGGGAAAAGACCTAGAACTAAGACAAGGAGGTCAGGACTGGGGACTCTGAACCCACTCCTGGAGGCCTCGGATGCAGAGATGCGCTCTCCTGCTCCCCCCATCTCACTTCTCTTCCTGCCAGGTGACTGTGTCCCCAGCCCCTGCCACAATGGTGGGACATGCTTGGAGGAGGAGGAGGGGGTCCGCTGCCTGTGTTTGCCTGGCTATGGGGGGGACCTGTGCAATATCGGTGAGTGTGTTGTGGGGCAGGGTGGGTGGGGGTAGATCTGAAGCCTGGACTCACAACATGTGTCACAACGTGCTAGTTCCCAAGGGAGAGGGTGGCACAGGTTTTGGCCTTATCTTTGATGAACCCACATTCCCCCATTTAGGCAAATCACATAACCTCTCTGAACCCTACCCTCACTTTCCTCATCTGTTAGTGGAACCAAAAATACCTTTCTCAGGGGGTCCTGTGAGAGGAGTGCTTAGCATACTCCTGGTATTTGGTAGGCAGTCAATACCTGCCAGTTTCCATTCTCCTGGGAGGAGAGGAGGGTACAGCCATTCTGTAGGAGAGAGGATTGCAGAGACCCAAGCCTAGACTCCAGACCTCACCCTGGTCCCTGTGACTCACTGAAGGAAGGCACCAAGGTCCTCTGCCCTAGGGCCCCACTGGACTCCTCCTCACCCCTCATGCCCTACCTTTGGCACCACTTTACTGCCCTTTAGCTCTGCTTCTATGGTCTGCAGTGGTGGGAAAAAGCCCCCTTCCAGGGAGCCTGGCCTGTCTGGGTCCCAGGGTCCTTCCACCTAAGTCGCCTGCCCTTCTGTGCCCCAGGCCTCCACTTCTGCAGCCCGGGCTGGGACGCCTTCCAGGGCGCCTGCTACAAGCACTTTTCTACACGAAGGAGCTGGCAGGAGGCAGAGACCCGGTGCCGAATGTACGGGGCGCACCTGGCCAGCATCAGCACGCCTGAGGAACAGGACTTCATCAACAGTGGGCTGGGGACGGGGCTGACGGGGACCCTGTCATCTGCTCTCTCTCTCATCACTCACTAACCAATCAATTAATTAAAGAGTGAGTGTGCTAGTTAATTAATTCCCTTATTCATTAATTCAGGTACTCGTTCCTTGGTTTACCTCATTCATTCATTCATTCATTCATTCACTTCTCCCTCTGTCTCCCTCCTTCCCACCCCACACATGGCTAGTGTGGCTTCAGGCAGGGGAGGGCTGAGGTTTGCTCAGGAAATGCACCTGCATCAGCCAGGTGGCTGCTGGGCTGGGGGTGCGGGGTGGCTTGGGAGGGGGCCTTCCGTCCCTCCGCACCTGCAGGCCCTCCTACCTTCATCTGCTTCCCTCGACTCTGACCTCCTTGCGAGTTTTTACTCTTTTCCCAGCTTTCAGTTTCTAGCCCTGGTGGCATTTCCCCCACCCCCAGCCCCGTCCCTGCCTTCCATCAAGCCGGTGCGCAGAGGTTGGGGAGAGGGATGAAAAGAGGGGAGCGCGGATCTGGGATCGCGGGAGGGGCTTCCTCGCGGTCCCCCGCAGACTGCCGGGTGGCGGGGAGTGGCCGCCACCTGCTGGCAGTGGAGCTCACTGCGCACCCTCGTCTTCCTGCGGTTCTCCCCCAGATCGATACCGGGAGTACCAGTGGATCGGGCTCAATGACAGGACCATAGAAGGCGATTTCCTGTGGTCAGACGGCGTCCCCCTGGTGAGAGGCTCGGCCGCCCCTCACACTGTCGAGGTCGCGACTTCAAGGCAATTTCGCCGACCGCCCCAGCGACCCCATCCCTCCCTCCCATTCTCCTGGCCCCTTCCCTTTCTCCTGCCCCTTCCCTCCTCTGCGCCCTCTTCCCTTCCTTGTCCCTCTCGCTTCTTTTCTGGTCCCCACGATTCCTTCCCCCAAAGTCCCTGACCTCTCCTTCTTCCTTCCTGGGCTCCCCAGCCTCTTGGCCCACAGCCTCCCTCTCCTCATTCCTCCAAGTGCACCTGGTGTCAGAGCCCCTCGCTACCTTCTCCATCCCTGTCCCCCCAGCTCTATGAGAACTGGAACCCCGGGCAGCCTGACAGCTACTTCCTGTCTGGAGAGAACTGCGTGGTCATGGTGTGGCACGATCAAGGACAATGGAGTGATGTGCCTTGCAACTACCACCTGTCCTACACCTGCAAGATGGGGCTGGGTGAGGGTGGCAACGGGCGGAGGGGTGGAGGCTGAGAACCGATGTGTGCCTAGAAGGAGGGGGCAGAGCTGCACAGAGGAGTCGGAATGGGTGCCAGGCCATAGCCGTGGAGGGATAACAAATTAGGTGGTCCTCTCAAAATCCCTGCTTTTTTCATCCCTCTTCCGAGAACTGTCACCCACAGAGCCAGGCTCCTAGCTCCTGACTGTGTCCCCCCTGCAGTGTCCTGTGGGCCCCCACCGGAGTTGCCCCTGGCTCAAGTGTCTGGCCGCCCACGACCGCGCTATGAGGTGCACACAGTGCTTCGTTACCGGTGCCGAGAGGGGCTGGCCCAGCGCAACCTGCCACTGATCCGCTGCCAGGAGGATGGTCACTGGGAGCCCCCCCAGATCTCCTGCGTGCCCCGTAGGCCTGTGAGTGCCAGGAGGAGACAGGCGGGAGGCACTAGCCAGCAGCAGCCCTGGGCTCCAGGCCTAGCTCTTCCAGTCCTTGGCTGTGTGACCTTGGAGTAATCACTGCCCCTCTCTGGGGCAAAGGGAAGGTGGCTGGGTGCTCTGGGGTCCCTTTTGTTGCTGATGTCTGAGAACTGTGGCCACACTCTGGGCACTTAAGCTGGGGTAAGTGTTTTGATGTGGTCAGGGGTCAAGGAGCAATAGCACCAGAAGTTAGGCTCTAAGAAGAGAGGGAAGGAGGAGGAGCCCAGGGTGGAGGGTGAGTGTGTGTGTTTTCCCCAGGCTCGAGCTCTGCACCCAACGAAGGTCCCAGAAGGACATCAATGGAGGCTCCTGGGGCACTGGAAGGTGCGGTTGACCCCTCCTTCCAGTCCTGTTCCAGGTCCCTAGGGGGCAAGGTCTTGTCCACTGCTGCCCCCAGCATTGCCCTCTCCCCACAACCCTCCCTCACACCCTATGCTCTTCCCATCACAGGAAGTGACCACATGAGAGGGGTGGGGCTGGAATCCAGAATTCCCTGAAGGGACTTCTGGGAACTACCTGGGCAGCTCCAGCCCAGCCTGAGCCCTCATCCCTGCTCTGTGAGTCAAGTTTTTCCCTCAGGGCCTCGAGTAAGTCCCTAAGTGCCTCAGCTGCCCTCTCCTTGCCAGCCATCCTGTCCCCTCCATTCCCCTGGGGGGCACTGTGCCCACTCTCTATTTTCCAAGGGAAGGGATTTGCAGGATGGAGTGCCTGTAAAGCCAGCAGGAAATACAGCTGCATTTGGACACAAGGGGTTTGATTCTTCTGTGTGTGAGAGAAAGAAAGGAAAGTGGGACTGGGCTGGGCCTCACAAGATAAAGAGACTCTCTGTGTTTATTAGATTCCGAAGGTCTGAGGAGTCCCCAGCATGTCAGTGGATAGAGCAGTG